GAGCAATTCGTAAGGCCCGACGGGTCCACAGGATACCGTGGGGTTCGTAGTACATCGCCGCAAATACTTTCTTGTCGTTGGCATTCGCGGTGAGGGACACGGCGGGAGATGATGGCCTTTTAGGGATTACGACGGGTATGTCGGATCGTAGGTGGGCTTCTTCGTCTTCGACTTCCTCCAACAAGACCGAAGGGGTCTTCCCTCGAAGTGGCATTTGGTCACCTGGACGAGAAAGGTCCAGAGGCGGCACTTGGGCGCCTTTGATATTCGAGGTGGTGGAGGAGGGCTCGCTGCCCTGTGTTCGGCCCTGGCCTCGGGCGCTTGTGCGCGACGTTGTAACCTCCACTCCAGTGCTGTGCTTACCGCTCTTCCTGGACCCGGCGGTACTTCGGGTAACTCTTCGCGAACGCACACATGTTGGCTCGGACGAGGGGTCTGCACCGTTTGCCGCAGCATTGTCCTTGGCTACTAAGGGCAGGGGGTCCCTCGCCTTCACGGCCTCAGCTGCTTTTTCGACGCTTCCCACTGGAACAGACGGCCCTGAGGACGCAGGCCCAGCGGGCTGAGTTGGCGACCTTTCTCCCACTCCGGGGTGACCTCCCTTCGTCAAGGGTGCAGTCGGGACACGACCTAGGGGGCTCCGCCCTCGAGGGGCTTTCCCTGTACGGTCGGCCGGGGGTTCCTGAGCTGGGACGGCCCCTAGGGGTTCGTTACTGAGCACAGACTGCGCCCAGTGGCGGAAATCCCCTCCTACGCCGTCGATGATTGGCGATTCATTGTCTTTAGTTTCTTCTATTGGTAACGCGGCGAAAAAATTGGTATATTGGTCGTAGGGAGTACCTACACATACAGATTGAGCTTTACTACAAGTACATGAGCGCGCACCAGATGAAACTAAGTCCTTGGCCGACGTCGTCGAATCGCTTATTTTGACGCCGGCTGGTCTTTTGACGACTTATCGTCCTTGACCTCCTCGATCTTTGTCTCCTTCCCGTTCTCCTCTTTCACGGCTTCTTCGAGCAATTGACGGAGGCGGGCGACGTTGGGTTTTTTGCGCGGTGGGAGTTTGACGGGGAGCCATTTAGACTTGTCGTCAGGGCATTTGTGCTTCGGGGTCCACCCAGTGTTCCCACACTTGAAGCACCGCTTGTCGGATCGCAGTTTGTCGATCTCCATCGGCTGCCCTGCTCCACCGTACGTGGTTCCTGTGGCGTCCTTCTTATCGCCTCCGGAACCCGTCCCGCTTCCCTTTGATTGATTGCCTTGACCCGAACCACCCTGGTTCGAGGAGGACTTACTGCCCAGTCCTTGGGCTACTCCGTATCGATAGTTGGCGTCGATCCTCAAGACTCGCGCCTTCCATTGTGCATAGGTTGTGGGGCGCTCGTTGTCCCCATGCATAACCGTGTTTCGCACCGTTGGCCTTATCGCCGCTTCGACTGCTTCGAACATTTGCTTCTCGTCTCCGAACTCCTCGCACTTGTGGGCTAGCCGTTCGAACTTCGCGAAAAATTCAACTGCGGATTTGAAATCCGCTTGTCGGATCTTCTTCCATTCGGACTTCCAGATGGTCAGCTCCGCTACCTCGCGGAACTCGCGTCGGAGATCCTCGGAGAATTCCGCCCATGTGGGGAACCTCCAATGACCTTGCGGGTCCCGATATCGGTAGTATTGATCTACCCACCACTGCTGCGCGTCTCCACGGAGGTATCCCTGGGCAAACGTGATACGATAGGGGTTATGCCCCTGATCGTTCATGGTGTAGTACATGGAAAATACCGCGAAGTATACCTCGCAATGGTGGAGGAAGCGGGTGATGTCGGAGGAGACCCCGGTGAAGTACTCGGGCTGGGTCACCAGCTTAGGCTTCACGTCGTTCCAAGGATTATTGGTCGCTCCTTGGGCGAGTTGCCAGGGAGGAATGGGGTCCGGGGGAGATGGAATGTGCGGGGGTACCGGTGGCTTCGGAGGTCGGGATACAGATCGTAAGTTCCGATTTTCTCCGGGGGGCGGATACCCTGCGGGTTCGGGATAGCGTGGCGGCACTGGGGGTATTGGCGGGACCGTGGACTGTTTTCCCTTGTCCTGGTTCGAAGGTCCTGCCCCCATGTCTGCGTAGTCATCGTCGTCTCCCCCGGCTCCTCCGAAGAAGCCTTCTGGGAAGAATCCTTCCATGTCCGTTGGTGGCGGCATTGGTTGGGGTCGTCGATACGGGTCGCACCCCCGCTGGGGCGCATTAGGGTTTACCTGGTTCCAGACGACAGCCGCCCGGTGCCAGGTCTCTACTTCGAGGATGTTCTTCATTAGATATACATCCCCCATTTGCTTCGCGTGGCGGTAGTCTTGGCCCGCCTCGGAGAAGAGCCACTGCGGGTCTTTCTCCATATCTTCCATCATGATCTCGTATAGTCCGTGCCAGGGTAGTAATTCGAAAATGCCCGGCCTAGGCACTGGTCCCTGAAGAAGGACCTGCTTCACCGCCGCCATTACCGTCGGTTCCAGGGCTTGGTTTGGAGGCCGACTTGGCATCCTCTGTCTTCTTCCTCTCTCGGGCGATTCGGTCAATTTCCTTGTTTCTCCGCCACCGCCCGATGTCGGAGTCCTCGTTGGAGATCTCCTCCTGGTAGACTCTCCATGCTCGGGCTCTGGCCTCGAGATCGGTCCCGGCTCTTCGGACGTATCCTGTGTAGCGGACGGCGGCCGCTCGTATTCGGTTGTCCACTTCGATGGGAGTGGCGTCGGGCTCGAGGGGAAGATCCCAGAAGCCATTGGGTCCGTAGAGGGCATCTTCCTCGGCGCGTCGGATGCGTGCATCGTGCGCTCGCCCTCGGTCCATTCTGGCCTGGACCTCTGCGGACTCCCGGGCATCTCCTCGGAGTCTGAGGGACTCGACGTACGTGTGATAAAGGAGCGGCCACGGACGCTGGGAGAGGGGGACGGGATCGGCGAAGGCTCGCGATGGAACTGACGCCTCCCAGTTGGAGACTCCGGCGAGTCGCTCGGCGGCGGTAATTGTTCCAAGTTCCTCATCGTCGAGGTCGCGGAACTCGCTCCAAAGCTCCCCACTCGTCTGCTCGTGCGGGGCGACGGGGGAAGGGAGTGCTGGTGTCTCGGGCCTTTCAGGGATCGGGTCGGACTTTCTTCTGGACGCGATTCTGGCCATAACATCCTCTTCCCCGTCGTCGGCGTAGACCCAACTGGTGCTGGGATGCCAGCCGACTGGAGGGCCTCTATTGGTTGGCCAGGCCCTTGGAAGAGGCTGTGACTGAGTTGAACTGGTGGAAGCCGCGGAGGCTCCGAGGCCAAGTTCTCCGGAATCCTCATCGTAGTCGTCCTTTTGCCTCTGTATATACCTTCTTCGCTCTGCTCCGATGTCGGAGTCTCCCCACTGGGCTTCAACCCACTTTGTGGACGACCTTCCAGACCAATTGTCTCCGGAATAGGTTGCATCCTCCTCCGTGTTCGGGTAGATGTCGTCGAGGAGGTCGTCGAGGCGGGTTCTTTCCCACTCGGTGAGCTCGTCCCCTTCGAACTCGGTATCAGGGCTTTCTTCGCCCTCGACCAGATGCCTGGTGCCTTGTCCTCGGCCTCTGTCGGGGCTTGACTCGCCTTCGACTGAAGGCTGGTCGAAGAGGCCTGGTAGGGGCGAGTCTCCTCTGTCGAGGAGTATGCTCCTGGTATCGGTGATGTCGACGGAGTCGGTTGACTCGTCGGTAGTGCTTCTGTAGGAGTCGGTGCTCGACTCTGAGGATCGCGAGCTGGGTCGCGACGATCCGTAGAGGGACTCTCCATAGAGAGAGTGTGGCTCTAGCCGTGGGGTTTCTGGAACGGGTAGTGTCTGTTGTGAAGCCGCGGGGATATCTATCACCTGCGGGGGGTATGCGGGTGCGCTGGGCACGTAGTGGAAGGGAAGCTGAGGTCGAACCCTCCTCTCTCGTCGGCAGCAGCGGAGTGTGTAGTATAAAGAAATGGACAAGAAAAAGGCGGTAAAAGTTACGAAGATTGCAGGAATGGCGTCGGACCAGGGCATCCGTATAGGGATCTATCCTTTGCGCAGGTCGACGATTTGACCATGCAAGCTGGTATACCGCAAGGATGGTGAGAACGATCAAGAGCGCGATGATCAAGCTAAGGTCGGTCTCGTAATTAGAACCGTTCATTAACTGGATTTCACAGGATTCGTCTGAAGGAGTGCTCGTGGTTATCAACAATAAAATTGTCAATATCGACGCGAGCTGGAGGGCAAGTATGAAGGGTTTCGTGTTGGGATACGTGATGTCCTTAAACGAGGCGGGGATATAACGAATACAGGGCGGCTAGCAATCCTGCTAGTACCACTGCTGATATTCCAAGCCCGATGAGAACAAGGGTGAAAGTTACAGTCACGAAGACTGCGAGGATAAGGTCGTCGAAGAGGATTGATTCAGCAATCAACCGGGTTACTAACAACAGAAGGAGTAGCCGAGGGGGTATTAGCCACAAGGCTAGTGCAACGAAGTAGTGTATTGGATGAATGGTGACGGTGAGTGCTTTCCCGTTGGTCCACTCGCTGTACGTTGACAAGCACCGGGTTGTCCACACGAACGTAGGCGATGACCTCTCTGGTCAAGCGGGGTAATTTCTCGTAAAAGGGTTGGGCAGCGCTCTTTCTCGGAAGTGACGCTGAGCAACGTAGAGCGAGCTTCGGCTAAATGTAAGCCACTAACTCTATCGACTCAGATGTGTTAGGGTCGCTACTCGCACTTCGGTAGACGACGATCCAACAGATCAAAGGCAATGAAAGTCGATGGGACAAATAGTCACGAAGGACGGAGTTCAAGTTAGGTAGAATAAACCTTAGCCGAAGCTGGGGTTTAAGCCAGCTGAGGCTTTACTTAAATACACGTTGAGTAGACTAAAAATAGTGCCGCAGCACTTGTCCGATCAGAACCGCAGCACTGAGTAAGCATGAATGCGTAAGGAAAAGGAAAGAAAAGAAAAAGAAATGAATAAACCGTAACATAACAGCATGGAACGTACATAAAGACGAAATTAATAGATTAGGCATGGAACGTTTCGCCAACGAAACCGGGCAAGATCTGATAGACTTTTATTCGAACGACTCTTTGAAAAACACGAATGTGGAAGATAGCGAAGAGAATTTGTCCGGTTTTCATTCAAACAACAGACTTATACACTTGCAAGACATCAGTAATGAACTACAAACCTTATTGTGGAACCAACCGCCCTCGGCTACGTCGCAACATCTACCTGGAAAATTAAGGTTATGCTTGGGATTACCTGTAATGATTCGATATAACAACGCTACTGAATTATGTATAACTAAAGGTCAAGAAGCATCAGTGTATGCTTGGCAATCTACCGTCGGAAATAAAGGTCAAAGAGTACTAGATACTCTTTTTGTCAAGCTGACTAACCCACCAACAGACGTCCATCTAGACGGCTTGCCATTGAATGTAGTACCACTCACACCGTCAACCACAGCACTAGAAGTTAACCTACCATCGAGAGAACGTATTATTATAACCAGAGAACAAATTGAAGTACTTCCAAACTTCACAATGACAGACTATGCGTCTCAGGGCAAGACCAGGCCTTATAATGTAGTAGATGTTGCAAAATGTAGATCGCATCAAGCCCTGTACACATGTTTATCACGTAGTTCAACAGCTGCAGGCACTCTGATACTACAGAAATGGACAGGGGACATGACGATGAAAGTACAAGGTCGAGCAAGCAACGCTCTCAGACAAGAGTTCAGGGAGCTTGAATTACTAGACAAAATCACAAAGCTTCGATATGATTCACAACTAAACTCTAGAGTAATAGGTCTCACACGTTCTGATTTAATTAAGTCGTATAGGAAAGTAAAAGGTATGCAGTACATACCTCATCGCATACATTCATCTATCAAATGGGACAAAAACAATCCTTTCATCGAAGAGGATCATCCGGATATCAAATGGCATATCAGTTAAGCAAGAAAAAAAGAAGGATAACAGTAAATTCGTACCCGCTCAAGGAACCTGTGAAACTAGATGTAAATGATCATATCTTCGATGGATCGACAGCAAACAAAGAGAACGTGATTTCGAGAATTACGTCCGAACAAAACTTCCTTCAGTGTTGCACATCTAACAGGGCATACCAAGTAGCACACACGCCATATGAGAAAGAAACCAACCCCAAAAAAAGAAATTTATCACCACACGCACAAGACCCGCATGCATATAAAAGACTATGCAAAGATGAGACTATGACTAATTCCTCCCGAAAAAGACATGCGTCACATCAAGACTCAGACGAGCACATACGCAAGAAATCGCGTGGAAACGATGAACTTAGACCAAGTTCTCTATATTCGCCCGAAGGTTTGATATGGAGTAACAACAGCTGTGCGTATGACGCATTGTTAAGTATACTGTACAACGTGTGGAAGCAGGATATAGTTTCATGGGTCACAGGCTTCGAACAGCTTAATGGACTATGGTTAAAACTTTTGAGCGATTTGTTTCAACAGCACTACGATGGCGACATAACTGCTGGAAACGGCCAGAGACAGATTTCGTAGAAAACTGGCTAGACGCCATCCAGCAAGCCTCCGCTTCGGAAACTTTGTACACATAACAGATCTTCTTGACTGCATGTTTACTACGGAAGATAACATACGGACAACTTTATTAGAATGCCCAACAGGGCATGATACGCTGAACACCCGCATAAACAACAATAGCGTAATGCTGATAGGAGGTCGGTCAAACTCTTACATTAGCATATCAGAATGGCTTCACGAACAATGGGAGGCAGGGAGATATCAGACAGCAAAGATGTAGAACATGCGAATCTCACCTCAGAAGACGGCACATATGGTTGAAAGCACCCGAAATGTTGGTCTTTGCATTGATGAATGATCAGCTAAAAACAATCGACGAGCATCTCGACCTCGCGGTTGAAGGCAGACAGAATGTCTATAATCTAGCTGGTACGATATACCATGGACAGGAACACTTCACCTCAAGAGTAATCATTAATCATGAATGCTGGTTTCACGATGGTCTGTCAACAGGTAGAGATTTAGTGCTTGAAACCCAAGGCACGACGATGGACATGACTCGATGTAGGGGGAAAAAGGTAACAGTTGCTATTTATACTCTTAAAACACGAGGAGAATAGACAATATATATGTTCGATGCTAACCTGCCAGATGGCCAGTACTTCAATGGACTTGTAACATGCCGCCCCGCTCTATGAATTCAATTCTCGTATTCTACGTCCCTAAAGTCTTTTCAATAATTGTAAGCAGTGTCGTTCAAAACATTTTCCATCGCATCCTGTATCTCCTGAGGATGTACGTTGATGCTCGAACGGTCTACAGTGTCTCAGTTTGACGTTGTTTCCGTTCCCAGTCTACGAAGAAGTATCGAATGCCGCCGCGACCATGGCAATGCGACTGATCCTTGATGCGAAAAACTCTGAAGAGCACTCCTTTGGAATATGCTCCCGTATGTCGTCAAATTATACGCCGCATTTTTTGCAATAGTGGTGTCTCCCTCTTTTTGATGTGCTGCCAGCAAGGAATACATCCTGAAACTGTAGTGAACTTATTGATATGCTGCAAAATCTGCGATAGTACAACTGGTAGAAAAGTCGAAACATATTTTCTTGCCCGATAGGGTCCCATTGACATGTGTGCAACGCGTTCACACATGTAATTTTGCGAATTCTAGGAATGCAAACGTGTGTGTGCCCCGTGAATAATATTAGAGTGCATGTAAGGCATAGAGCGCTACACACTGAGGCAGAAAGCACTATAATAAAAATAATATGAGTAGAGCACATGGCTTAGACTTAGAACAGCACACTTGTGTCATTTAAGTGTGCAGTCTCAGTGCTTATACACACACACTGTGCCCTCCTCTGCAGTGTATCACTCAATTAAATTCACTGAAGATAATATATTGAAGGTGCTTCGCGCTACATTGATCTATGATGTGCGAACCCTGCCGATCCGGCAATCACCGAGAAACGTCATCCTGAACGAAGAATCAACAAGTCCGAATACTCTAAGGAGTTCTCGGCTGGAGAGAAATAAAACCCGCTGCCCATATGAAATATTAAACTAGAAATGGTTGCGCGGCAACCAATAAAATAAAACTTGCTCACTAGATAAGTTGCGTGGCACTGTAATTAAATCCGTGGAGCCAATAAGAAGACACACGCTGCATGGCATGACGAGGCTAGGCCTTGCCAAGTGGAGAAAACAGCGGTAGCACGCACGCCGACACGGAGTGCTGAGTAAAATAATGATTACTATCACTACGGCTGACGCGGCACGCAAGGGAAGGGAGTCCGAGGTGGAGTGTTGTCTATTTTCAGTATTTACATTTCATATAGTTAACGGTAAATATAAGAGCGGTAGTTACAGGTAGTTAGCAAGTTTTCAGACCCCCGCAGTTGTACTACGAAGCAGCGCGCTTAGTGTATGACGAAAGGATTTTATTTGAAGCTTCGAGCGAGAGAGTATTATTGAACTTAGAATTATTTTGAACACTCTGAGAGCTCGCGAGGCACGCCTTGCTCGAGCGCGCTTGATTCGTTCAAGTAAAGTACAGTAATTGATTGCGCTCTACTTAGAGAATATTGTATTGTGATAACTTGAATGTGCATTTGTGTTTTTGGAACTTGTTTGTGAATTCCGAGTTATTGCAAGTGGCAGAGGTTCGAACCCTTTGGCTTGTCAGTAATCTCTGAGGTTTTTTTGGTTTATTCCCAAGTGGCATAGGTTCAAACCCTGTGGCTTGTGGACGTGTTTTCTGTGTTTGTGTATCTCTGGATCGCATAGGTTAGAACCCTGTGGATCTACGAACGGGTTTTGAAGTGTTTTCTGCTTGGAGCGCAAGGCTTTAAGTCGTGTTAAGTGTATTGTGAAATGTTGTGGACACTTGTGTGTTGCGCGCGACATATTTTGAGGGTTATACGTTCTTGTAGAACATTTGGGGGCTTGCGAAATAATACTTTTGCCTTGAGGCCGAGCGATTCTGTCGCTCACCTCCTGTTCCAAAAGCATTTGGACTTAGAAGATTATTATATTGCTAAGCACGCTATATTATATTGTAACGTGCAAGGATTATTTCAATACTACTGCTATTGTGTGCTTGTATCGCACATCACCCCCGAACTACTGAGGGTTTGTGTGTGTGTGAGTGTGAGTGTGGGTGTGTTAGTGTTATATACACTAGTGCATTTCTAGCTTGGCACGCACAGAGCCTCTTCACCGTCCTTCAAAACTGGAGTGTATCGTCCTCACTGGTGGCACGGAGATGTGAATTTTGCACCTGTCAAGTGCTTATTGATATCCACCAAAATACGAAAGCAATTGGAACATCGATATACTCTTTGATTGAGCCTTGTCGGTAGATCGGGTGGGCATAGATTTCAATGCCATTTGCTCATCATTAACCAGAAGATGTAGCCTACAGTTCTTACGGCCGCTGGTGCCAACCTTGGGGCGTGAAGTGTCGACAATGGGGAGACGATGGAACGTGACAAGGTGATATAGTAGGTCGAAGAAAGTGAAAGGGTGAGTACCGCATGATGGCACTGGACACATAGTCGTCGGAGTCTTATCGGGGTCTTGTCAAGGTTTCCAAGATGTTGAACGAACATGTAGCTAGAAAAGACGCCATTGTCTCGGAACTTGTAGAAAAGGATGAGCTGAAGAAAGAAAAAAAAAAGGACAGAGAGAGGCTCACTAATACCTCCGTTTTTGGCGATGTTAGCAGCCCATCAAAGACACAGTATGGGCAGTAAATTGGAACGACAGCAAAGCTCTGCTCAATGTACCCATAAAGTTCTGGATGATGACCGCCCAAACCTTCCATCGCGTCATACACAACAACATTGTCATGAATGCCAACACTACGAGGTTGCAAATCAACGTCGCCTCCCGCACGCTCCTGGAATAAAGGGGACTGGTCATTGTAGTGAAAGACGCAGTATTCGGCCCAATCGGTTGAAGTGCAGTTGTTGTCTTCCTTGTTGCAGACGACCTCGTCAACCCACAAACATTGACTTTTCACCCCGACCGTCGGCGCTGTTTGCGTCAACATCTTTACATGCTGACCGATGTGCTTGATATATCCTTGGCGAGTCAGCCATATCTGGCTAGCCGAGCAGCAGTCTTGCCACAGGCACGGGTTGGGTTAGTAGTTATTGCTCGCATTGCTTTGAGCCTCTGCGGTCTTTTGCTTATCACTACAGTCATATAGATGCTTGCCAATCTGTCGCATGTCACTAAATGATGAATCGTTAGACCTCTGGCCACTCGAAACAACGGAATCCCGACATACCTAGAGTCCTTGTCGCATATCGCGCATTTATTGGCCTCTGTCAAACCCTCCCCTGAGCAACAAACGATGTGTTTGGTGTGATTGAAAGTCGTCAAGACTAGGTATTTATTGACAAACTCGATGATGCCATAGTTGATAGTGGAGAAAAAGGTAGTCACAACGTTATTCCGGGCGGCAGCTTGATCGGACGGAGCTTTGTGACGCTCAGCAACGAGAGTCGAAGTTGTATTTTATTTTCCTTTGGTTATGGGCAAAATGGTGACGTTGGTGGTCTGAATAAACCAATGAGGACAGACCGCCCGAGAACGCCAAAAGACACATACCTGTCCAACAAGCTGACAGGTCAACTGTTCTTGGAAAAACTGTTTCCGAAGTTCGTTAACTTGACTAGACTCTTCACGTTGCACAATGTTTCGATACTTTTCATCCAATTTCTTCTTCTCCATTTTCAATGAAGCTTTCTGCGTGACCAGCTCTGCTTTAGATTCTTTGCTGAAGTTGGCACATGTCAGGGGACCCAATGAGATCAGCGATCTGTAATTCACCATCGTCAGTAGTGTTGCCTGATGACTCGGCTCGAAGTCACCGAGTCGCCGAGCGGAGTTGAGCCGAGGGTGAGCCTAGTCATCGGCAACGACTCAGTCCCTCATATGGCTCGACTCGGCTACGACTTGACTTTGACGGCTTCAAGCCGACCAGAGTCACTGACTGCATCTAAATTGGGAAGATCTGTATTTACCTTGTCCTGGGAGACTCTAAGGCTTATCTATGAGCAGTAAAAATCAATCTTGAGCTATTAAGTCTGAATCAGTGAAACCTGGACCTGAACTCAAGGTTTTTGGTTAAGTTACAAGCCAGCCATGGGTACGTGGGAAAATAGTGCCTTGAATGGCATGATTTTCCCATGATATTTATCACAGTTCAATCTTTGTGGTTTTTTAATGTCCAGGGGCTTAAGAGAGGACAGCTATGACATGCATTCACATTTAGAGCCTTTTTCTAAACTCTTCTCAAATATGTACTACACGTTACTGAATTTTTCTAAGTCAATTCTAAGTTACTTTCCTATTTGAGAATGCAGTCAATGACTCGGCAAAAGTCAGTGGCTTGAAGCCGAGCCGAGTCAAAGTCGGTGACGTAATATGACTTTGGAGTCATCTTGAAGCCGAGTCGTGCCGAAGTTGAGCCGAGCTGAGGCGAGTCGAGTTGTGGCAACACTAGTCGTCAGCGGGTGAGCAAGGGTTGGGAGCAAAAGATATAACCTTTTTTTCGTTCCTTGTCCATTTCGACGAGTTCTGGTTCAGCCAAAAGCTTTGCTTTATACTCAAGAGACAACTTTGTATGTGCGTTTTCATCTCTACGAGATGGCATGTCTGACAAAGCCTGGAACGGACATAAGCAAGGAGTTGGAAAGGTTTCGAGCAACATACCTTGCTAGCCTCTACGTACTGGACATTCTGGTCTCAGGCCTTGCATGACTGGCTCCTGAGATCCGAAGCTATGGATCAACTTTTGTAGTGTTTCTAATTTATAAAAATGACAAGTTCGATTGCAAGCTGATACGTCAATAAAAAGACCTATACCTGTAACCAATCATCTTGAATAGCAAGCTCACCATTCAAGACGATTGGGTACAGGTCTAGCTCATGAGTGCTGCCCCATCTTCCGCACTCATTTAAGAGATGCGATTCTAGGCTCCATGCCGACAACAATAACAGGTTACATATATTAACACTACAGTCGTACTACTGGACAGACAATATCGGTCAAATCAATGAATAAAGCAGGACTCAGCTCTCAGTGATAGGTACTGGCCATTTTGAAAGATTTGAACGCCAACATCTTTGCTATACCGAAGTCATCAATTGGCTAGTTATGTAACAAATAGGCATAGTCCACATACAAGACACTCCAGAAAGTGCCTGTGATGTCTACATTGGAGGGTTTCCATCGCATATATCCAAAAAGACGGCGTCCCCAAAATTCAGCCTGATTGATGACCAATACAGATAGTAATTCTCCAATCTCAAGAGCAGACCCAGGATTGTCGTTCATGCGTACAGCCACCAATGAATTTTCGGCAGATGTGGAACTGGGAAAGTGGTCGGTAGCGCATCCCATTAGCAACAACATGATCAAACAGTGTTGCATGAGGAAATAGCATGATGCCACCAGCAGGCGGGCTGAGAGACAAATATGAATACAAGCCGCTGGCAGGAAGACTGCATCTGCAAGTGGGTCAACAATGGCAGATAAATTTCGGAAGGCAAATAGCGCTCTTCAGCGCGAGTGCTCGGTTCCAATCGGATTCCGTCTACACGTAGATTAGCAGATGAGCGTGTATGAAAAAAATAGCTCCATACCATCTTGACGAGCTTCGTCAAGTTCTTTGGCTAAGCTCTGAACAGTTCCTCGATCATCTGAAGATGCTGCGAACATAGCTTCTGCAGCCAGGCGTAACTCCGAGCCGGGGGGTTGTTGTGCTGATTGTGCTAACTAGAAAGTAAATGAGATGACGAGAATCACTGCGACATATTACAGTAGATGCTGACCAAACGCGACTGTTGAACAGTTCGGTGAAACTCCCGGAAGAATGTAGTTTCTAATTCACCGCCTGACTGATTTCCTGTCTTGAAACTCTTCAATACTTTATTCAAGCGCTCAAAAAGGAACGTCCAGAACTCTCGTAGAGGCCTATAGTTTTTTATACAAGAAGATACGTGGGTAGCATAGTGGTGGTTCGGTTTTATGACTGCTGCGCCATAGAGCTATGAGCGACAATCAGATGATGGTTCACAGTCAGAAAGAGACAACGTACCACCATCAACTCTTTCGTGTAGCTGCGCAAGAGACGATCCGATAACTTCAGGTCATCTGTTGTAATTGTCTTGGAAACCAGAATGCGAAGAACCCTGCATAGCTTAACAAAGTTGGCAGGATCGTCCCGGTGCAGATTTGAGGCCATGGCATTATCACGTTCTTCTTCTTCAGCAACTGACAGTGTATTAGGCTTGGGTCGTTTGCGGGCACGAGATAGAGCATCATAATCAGGATCATCGCCCTGCATGCGTGAACCATCATTGACACCATTGTCATCTTCGGGTTCAATGTCGCGTTGCTATATTATGTGTGTTAAGCGCACGTATTCTCATGGATACCGTGTCTAGACCTACCGCAACTCGAGCAGTGGGAATACGTGTTGGCTGAGGGCGACCTGAAGTGACTGAACTGTCTGCTTATTCTTGAACCTCCAGACGACGTTAACGAGCCTCCTCAGCTGCCTGTTTCTTGGCCTGAATGGCTGCTTGCTTCTTAGCCTCAAGAACCTCAGCTATTGATGCTGCTCTTCGTGTAGCCATTCCCGCTGGGGTTTCTTGATGGCCACCATAGTCGGACCAGATATGTGGTATCTGCTGATTCTTTGAGTAATGGACATGTTGATGGAAGTTGTGTGCTGACTGCTAGTGGTGCCACAATGGTGGCTAATATGAGCCATTGATCTGCCATTAGTGATCCTTCAGCCGGTTCGCCTATGAGACTGGGTAGTCAGCCGAGTTTGGATGGCATTCGAAGCTAGGAAGATAGCTCATTACTTATTAATAAGAGTAAAACATAAGCCATAATTATACCTCAGCCATAATAACATGGAGAGCTCGGAGCTCCTTCGTTTTGCGAAGGACATTTTGTTGGACCCATATGTGATAGAAGTGAGTCTTGATCAGTCCTTGAGACTTTGATTAGATAATCCCAAACGGTTATCTAGTTGACGTACCCAAGAAAAGGTTGTGCGTAGGATCAATCACAACCATCTCGCATACATCGAAGTAAGGTAGATGAAACAGCTCCGTCCATCGTGTTGCGTATGCTGTCGCAAATTCATCTCGAGCACTCTTGATTTTGCACTTCAAATATTCCTGTTGTAGTCGGCGCTGCTCTGCATTTGTGCGAGCCCGGAAAGCTGACAACGAATCAATATTGATGGAGTACCTGACCGAACTAGAGAAAACGTACCATCCTTGAGGCGTAGCTTTATCGGACTGTTTGACCCAACACAGCGTATAAAAATTGGTGTGAGAATGCGAGCCGAACCCAGCAAGCTTATGAGCAGCTGGCTTGTCGCATACTAGAGCCACCAATGCTACACGAACCAGCCGGCCTTCTGGAAACTTGGGGGTACAAATCACAACGCCTTCACACCATAAACGTATCAATTCATTCGCTAAGACCCGAAGATAGCGCTGAACTTGATCATAATTTGCTTCCTTTGGTCCCGGAAGGATACCTGCAAGTAAAATATTCGCTGTTCGGTATCTGCAAGACAGCAGCATCAGTTATGTATCCCTGGCACTAGTTCATGTTGCGTACCGTAAATGCTCCGGCAAGTTGATCATAATGTAAGACATTAGACATGATGTGTGAGGTGGCGCTAGTTGACTCCGAAGGTATTAGAGCCTGAGAACGTCTGTTATTGAAGGCTTCTAGATGTAGAGCCAAACTGTACCAGTCAACACCCAATGTCACACCGACTCGAAGCTCTCCTGCAGCAATAGTCTCTGCACTCGGCCGAAAGAAGCGATAACCATTGACAGCCTTCAATTCTTGACAGATTTTACCATCAAAAATACCGGTGTATACTCCCGGAACATGCTGTCGAACTTTAACCAAGGAGTTGCTAATTTCGTCTTCGATCCCCGGCACCATCAACAGTGTGGCGAGTTGCTCCTCAAGCGACTTCATAGGGAACTGAAGAAGTGGCTTAGGCTTCTCCCGTGAGGTATGACCATGTCTTTCCTCAGCAGCCGTCGGTGTCGTATTATAAAGTGTATGATTGCAAGCAGTGCATTTGGCATCTGCAGGAGTGTTCACAGCATAAACTTCCTGGCATTTGGGACAGACAAGCAAAATGCGAAAGGATGGCTCCACATCGAGATTGTGGAGAACGGCCGGCAGAGTGCGGTACATTGGCGGATCCACTGGTATACCAAAACTCTGCAGGGCAAGAGCAAAGACCACTGAGGAGGGCATTACACGCTCGAAATGGGAGGTGAAACTGTGAATGCAACCAGACAACGAAGACATAGATGATATAGACTATTTTATTAGGGTGTATGTCGGCTGGAGTGGGAAGGTATGATAGTGTCGATGGCTCGTACTGGTAAGGGCCGGGAGTATTTTCGTGGCGAGGATCAAAGTCATGCAGGAAATCCAACGGTTGACCAGACAATGTAGGTGAGGGAGCCATAGGCAATGGGCTATAGTGTGAACCCCCATTGGATGCTATTTCGAAGTCAGTCACCGGCCTGTCGAATTCCTCGTTGCTGGATTCGTCGTCACTGGATTCGTCGTCATCAGGTTCCTCCCAATCGTCAGTCCCTATTTCTTCGAATAGCTCCCTTGCGAGCACTGCCAGTAGATGCTCCAGCCCCAATGCTTCTGCCTCCTGGACCCTCAGATCATGATCATGCTTCTCCTCCATTCCACCTCGCTCACTCATAAATGAGAAGGCACTCTCATCAACCATACGTTCATCCTCTGGAACTAGCGGGGGAGTGCTCACTAACCGAACTGCAGGCTCGCATCTCTGGGACGATCGTCATCTAGCCCATTTTGAGGTAATGGGCCTGGTGGAAAATGACCTCCGAGTGGAAGTGGCGTTTGGAGCGACGTGCCCAAGTCCTGAATTGACTGCGGACGAAGACGAGGGAGTTCGGACAGATTTGGTGAAGGGTGAGTGACAGTTACCGGACGTGCAGAAGGTCCGATGAATGATGCAAGAGGGCGGGGTGCTGGCAGTGTCGAAATCAAGGACGCTGTTAGCTGGTAACTCTCCTCTTTTCAGTCGCCAAACTTCGTGACTATTCCACTTTTTGCGGAAGACGAGGTCTCCTTTGCATGAATAGCAAGAACAGGGTACTAAAGACTAAAAAAATAATGAAAGAGAACAATGCTAATAGGAGAAACCAACCCACCATTTAATAATACAACGAAATAGAACACATTGCGACGATAGTTTGACTCAAAAACGTTGGTGCAAGAAAGAGAAATCACGTTGCATTGATGCAAGTCTGTCCTGCTAAGTCTCGATTGCCCGGCGTCTAAACTTTCACAGCCACCACGTGAGTATTTGATCTCCCAATCGGCAATTAAGATATTTCATTGGAACTCATCGCGACTATTCATCTTCGCTACTTTTATTCGTCTTCGTCTTTTCTTAACAACCACTGTAACATCGTCTTATCCTATATGCCAGTAACACGAAAAGATGATATTAGGACTGAATGAAGATCAAGAAACTGGGTTCGCAAAAATCGGGGAGTTGCAGCAACCCACGTATATTGTCGAATCAAACACATCATCTGAAACGTATGCGCAGAGCTAAAAGGCATTCCTATCTCGTTATTGACCAACGCTAGACTACTAGAACCATTGTTAGGACAGTCAGAACCGATATTTCGTACACTGACCTATACCCACGAGAGGAGAAACAGCAGGATGGGGATCATTATCACTATTGACGAAGACGGGGTCATCCGAACTATCACAATTCATGCAGCGTATCGAGCCATGCATGCGAGAGCAACGTACCGATTCGGAGATCGAGTCAACATACGTCTTCACGTTGACGACACCGGTGCAGTTATATCCGGTGCCTGTACTGTGAAACTGGGTTGCGTCGAATTTGGTTTTGATCTTAGAAACAGAGGGTATCGTCACCTTTCTGATACTTGGTTGAATACTTACTTTGCCTATCCCTTCGGCCAGGGAAGTTCACGCAGAAGCTTGAATTTGCGTACAAAAGAGTACCTGTAGAGCGGAGAGACATAGATAAACGACGGCTTCTTGTTGTACAGACACTTCTTGAAAGCGAGCTGGATGTATTCTAACTCCAGGTGAGTGAGTTTTATCGGCATAGAGGATAACGGACTCAATAAAATCAGACATAATCTTGTCGTATCTTGCAGAGCAGACGGTTGCTAACTTGCGATAAACTGCAGTGATTCATGAATAACAAGTAAGTACCACGAACCTTACGTACAAAAAAAAAAACGAACTGACTACAGTTCGAAGCAATCCCAGCCACTGACACACGTACCACACGACAGCCATCACAAGCGCTGTCAACACGAGAAAGACCAGATCCGTAGATTCCAAGAGAAAATATGATATCCATCGTGGAAAGTCGAGTATATGTACATTATATATAACACATTATTGCCGCTCACTTCATTCGACAAAAGTCCGACGATTCTAACTCGACTCTCTAACAAACTTTTACCGTCAAATAATCCACTGTAGAGCCTCGTTACTCGTCGTTTGACGGAATGCAGAAAAATACTGATACCCGACAGACTACATTTAGTACGATATTAATATCGGCACATTTGATTCGGCATTTAAAGGCTGCAACACGCGAGAGCCAGTATAGAAGAAAGAAGCCAGAAAGTAAGCATAAGCACATACACATCTCGTTGATGCACTACAGTAAAAATGCTTCAGTGAAAGTGTATTAAAGATACAATATCATAGTGTTACCCACCGCAATGACCAACCAGATGGGACATCACATCACTTGCACCATAAATCTACTATCGCCCACTACCCATAAAGAACTTATAGAGTTACTATTCGCCCTGGGAAACCTGAGCTGAATCCAATGCACAGATATTAACCCATTCCTGTGTCCGAGATCTGTCCTCATGGAGTTCGAATGCCATTTGCACTTAATAAACTTGAATTTCCTGGCTGAACGAATCGCAACTAGTATACACGTATGTCGGATCCATGTTCTCAAACATATATGCACAGAATACATGGATAAAAATTCTTGTGCTTCTCACTCGCAAAAAATCGTACAAGAGCTCCACACAAGGGGCGCAACTATATGAAACACTTCAATCGATACCACTAACTTCAATCAAACATCATGAGACTGAGAACTACCATACAAAAGCACAGAGTTGGATGAACGTATAAAAAGACAAAGATAGATTATAACATTAGAGTGACTACTGTTCTGTTCACCCAGTAACACAACATCGAAAAAGCAGAAAGAGCAGTAATTGAAACTCCGCTATCGTTTATAAACAACTTTCTCACAAGCTTCGGAATTAGCCGCAATTGGACATCGGACTCGTACCCGTGCCGTTGAGCGGCCCACCCGTTCAAGTATTTAAATTTGGAAAATTCCTCCTGCTCTCTGTCGCACTGAACTACTACGGATTAACGAGTGGACATGAAGTTTCGAAAAGACCAAGCAGACAGGGCTGTACTCCATCCAGGGACCAGCTTATCGATCATTTCCTCCAATTCAAGGGATACGCTCGGCTCTAGATCCGGACAAGCTTTACATTACAGGCTACCTTGATTCATGATTATGGTTGTGCCTGAGAGCAGTATTGTGTTTAGACCCCACCCAGGGATCTGTAAAGTTCGACCAGTCTCTCGCGTCTATATTGAATCCCACCGAACTACACAGCCGGTTCTTGTCTTTGTTCGACTAGCTCTGGATGCTCCCTACTTTACGTGGATGTCAAGACACACCTTTGATAACGGCGCTTAATGCCATCAATACGAATGCCCACGACACAGCAACGTGGCTTCCCACGAAGAAATTGTTCATATAAAAGGTTCCCCTTCCTTTGATAATCGCACATCGACTACCCACCTTCGCTTACCCACCTTCGCTAGCCAGATGATCCTGGAAAAGAGATGGCCCGACGAATGGTTCTCATCTCCATCACTGCGGGTCAAATCTTCCTTCAATGTTCCAGTTATCACAGAAGTCGGTCAGCATACACTGAAAAGCGAGCCATTCGGATTAGGATGGATTGTAGAGTGCTCCATTAAAGTTAACATCATCGGTGGGAAATGTGTCCCATCGCAATCTCGGGAAAATTATTCTTTCTACATTCTGCCGAGCTCCTCTAAACACACCTCTCTTGGGAACCTGTCTTTCTGTGCATCATTTGCATCCAAGCCCGAAACCGTGAAGGAAATCCAGAATCTGACCATGGAAACCCTCCTCGTGAAGGATACCTTATCAGACATGGATTGGAATTACAATTCGAACCGCTCCCTCGAAATCGAGGTCACGTTCCCTTTTCGACCAAATCCCGCTCTTGCATCTTGGCCAAGGGTGTCTAAAGCTATAACGTCTACTCTTCATCATGACGGTAAACTGCCCATCGACCTCAAGTTCATCATATGCTCACGCCTGTCACCCCGCGGACACATTGATTATCCAAAGGCAGTTTTTGCGAGCAGTGAGCTCTTGGAGGGGCACACGCCATTTGTGGATAAATGTACGTACACCATTTTTGTGAAAAGAAGGTTGTTGATACTTTCTGCCATCAGACATTAACACGGGTGTGAAGGCGGTTAACCTTGATTCGGACGATTGCGACTCGGCGATATGGAGTGCATATGATTATGACGCAGATAGTGATTTTGACGGCGAGGATGATAGTGATCAAGATACTATGGACATCGACGCTGCACTCGCACCGTCTGCGACAGGTAATTCTTCTTTCTGACTGGGGCGTAATAATTGAATATCGGCACTGTCATGATCAGATATTGATTTCCAAAACCTTCAACCGGCGTATGAGGAGTGGCATTCACCAGGCCGTCTTTCACAAAATATCTCAGTCACGTCTTCCCCACCGAGGTCACCGCTGTTGGAGTTTCAAGTGTCGCGCATCACAGCGCAGTTGACGTCGGGATCATCGGTTGTCAGGGTTAGTCAGGCAAGAACTCGTTTATTACATCCTGTTGCTTCTATTAGTGTACACGGTGAGTAGATAAATAGGTAGTCAAATGAAGACAACCCTCGCCTGTTTGCGAGGGTTCCCTGCTATATCCGGGTGAGCAGCTGGAGAATTACCGCTTATCTCAACAACCGCTGCCACAAACACCAATATTAGCATCTCCATCCATCGATGACATTGATCTGCCAGCAGAAGATACCATAGCTGAGTCTCCTGATAGACCCTTATCGCCGGTTCAACATGGAGACCAAATCCATGAACCGGAAGTACATGGGACAGAGCGCTTTGGGTCTGTCTGGCATGTCGATGACGCCGCATACAAGACGTGGGTTGCTTTCATTAGATGTGGGTTGCTTTCATTAGATACGTGATCCACGCTGATTATTAATATATCTACTAGTTGGACAGCCCTTCTGGCATATCTATACACGCACGAAATCTCTTTTGCGTCCCTCAAGTCAAATGGAACAGCTCGAATCGCACCAGCGGATGCATGCTCTCCCAAGTCAATGTATCGCTTAGCTGTAAAGGTGAGCGATCATAGACACAAGTTTATTCTATTTCTCCTCATTTCACCATCAGGCTGATCTTGACAGTCTTCAAGAGTTGGCGTTCGAAAACCTTCGTTCGCAGTTGACGCCGAGTAACATCATCGCAGAAGTTTTCTCCAAGTTCAGTGGGCAGTACGTTCTCGTTAGCTCTACGGCGCAGTTTCTGATAATGATCCTGCTTAGGTATCCTAAAATACTGGATATGGAGGTCGAGTACTTGGTCTACCACTTCGATGACCCTCTTATGTTGGGATAGCAATCCCGAGTTAGTGCTAGAATGCACTCGAAGCTTCGGCATGACTAAGCGGCATGAACATTTAACCGCAATAGTAGGCACATATAGTAATCCGTAGTAAATTCTAGAAGTAGTACAACTTGTATTTAAGTACAATGCCTCTCCCTCGAGAGGCTAATTAATTCTCTCTCTCTTACATTCTCCTCTGTACTCCCAACAGGTTATGGGCCCCGGCCCTAACTGAACTACTTACACTGTTACCCACTTCGCACTTTTGTACATTATGTACACATACAGAACCACATGGAAAGCCAGTCCGTTTACAGAATTGACCCCCTTAAGGGCCCGGAAAATTACCCGACGTGGAAGATCAAGATGATCGACATCCTAACCGATTTAGGTCTAATTGATTATGCAGACGGAAGCACTCCGGCCCCGGCAGAAGCGGCACTGGTGGCAGATTGGAAGAAGAGCGATAGGAAGGCTCTTTCGACAATAAGGTTGCGGGTTTCAGATGGCCCGCTGGTGTATATTGCTGGTTCGAAGACTTCGGAAGAAGCATGGAATGCTCTAAAAGACATGTATGAGTCCAGGGGACCCATGGGAATTGTCCTTGTTAGAAGGAGATTCTTTAGAGCTCAGTGTGAAGAAGGGGGAAACATAGAGGAACATATTAGGACTATGAGGTCCTATCAAGAGGAGCTGGCATCCCTCAAGCAGAAAGTTGAGGAAGAGGACTTCTCTATTACACTGCTTACATCACTCCCGGAATCATGGAATTCATTCATTTCATCAGTGGACACTGCTGATTTGAAAGATTCCTACAAATTGATCTCCCGAATTCTCCAGGAAGACATCCGATTACGAGAAAAGACTTCTGATCCGACCACAACACTTGCAGCACATGGCAAGAAGTCTAACTCAAAAATCACATGTTACGGATGTGGAGAAGCCGGGCACATCAGGGCAAACTGCCCAAATGGAAAGAAGAATTCTGGAAAGTCATGGAAGGGGAAAGGGAAGGGCCAGACCCAGGCACATGTTGCCAAATCGGATTCAGATGAAGAAGATTACGCGTTTTGCACTACAGACACTGCACTTGTTATGCTTGCAGGGTCATCATGGCTGGGGGACTCAGGAACAACTAAACATATAGTCAAGAACAGATTGCATTTTTCTGACTATGTTGAGACCCCAGGACATGAAGTTATTGGTGTAGGAAAGTCAAAAGGCTTGGGAAGAGGAACAGTAAAGATTAAAATGGTTGAAGGGGACAAGACTACTTCAGTTACACTGAAGGATTGTATTCACTGTCCCGAGGCACCATTCAATCTTATTTCGCTAGGGCGCATCACGGATGCCGGGTTTGAACTCAAATTCAAAGGATCTCGGATGGATATTATCTCACCGCGTGACAAGACAATTGGTCATGGAGATAAGATTTCGAAGCTGTATAGCCTTGACATCATTGCGCCAGAAATAACTCAAGCCCATGCAATTAAACCGGCCCGATCGTGGCAGAAGTGGCACCGAGTGATGGGCCACTTAAATATAGGATCGGTAAAGAGATTATTCAGAAAGAAGATGGTCAAGGGTATGGATGTGGATGAGTCAGCTGACCCCCAGAAGGATTGCAAAGCCTGCATAAAGGCCAAGCACCATGTTGAGCCATTTCCGCAAGAAGCTCAAAGGGAATACACAAGAATAGGTGAAATGACATTTTCGGACCTATGGGGGCCAGCCCGAACTCACGGTATCCATGGAGAAAGATATTACATAAGCTTCACAGATGGCAAATCCCGGAGGACAATATTGTATTTTCTCAAGTCAAAAGAAGGTACAGAGATCCAAAAGAAAATCCAGCAGTACCAGAAATACATCAAAGTCCACAAAGGGGAGGACCTGAAGTTTATGAGGATTGATAATGGGAAGGAATACATTAATGAGGTGGTGAAGGAATACCTCCATGGCAATGGCATTCAGTTGGAACTGACTGCCACATATTCTCCACCCCAAAACGGAATTGCGGAGAGAGTCAATCGGACCCTTGTGGAGCATGCGCGTGCCATGCTAGAAGAACATCACTTGCCGAAATTCCTATGGCCCGAGGCCGTGGCATATGCCACGTACCTGAAGAACCGATCACCGACTAAGGCCATCAAAAATGATCTAACCCCCGAAGAAGTGTTTTGGGGCATGAAACCGGACATTTCAACACTCCAGGAGTTCGGAGCAAAGTGCTGGGTGTTGCAGCAAGATAACAAAAGGTCAAAACTCGACCCGAAATCAAGGGAATTCATTTTTACAGGTCTTACAGATGAATCTAGGGCCTGGAGATATTATAATTCTCAGACCAGACAGATTCAGACCTCAAGAAATGTTATATTCCTTGATGACAACACTAAAGAGCCTACAGACAATGACTATATTGTATCCCACCCTTCGTTGCTCGAGGGGGAGTCAGGGAACAATGTCGAGCAGACTCCAGGTGGAAATGATGACATTTCCGATGATTCCGCGGCTGCCGAAATTGCCGAATCAAAAGGGGAAATGCCCCTTGATGCCCCGGCAACCAAATCAAAGCTTCCCATTTGGCGTGGGAAGGTGATCGAGCCACGTACCAAATCGGTCCGGATCTCATCAATCAATCAACCAAGTTACCGGTTGCTCCATAATCCAGCTGCAAGAGGCACGAAACTGCCGGAATTGCAGCGTGAAATGACACAGGAACCTTTGGAAACTGCAAATATAGCAGCAGACTATGCATGTCTGGGGGAGACTGCAGATAACCTCAGTGATGAGCCATTAAGCCTTGAAGAAGCTAAAACAAGGCCAGATTGGCATCATTGGAAGAAAGCAATGGATGAAGAATATAATCTATTGACTTCTCTGGGTACATGGCAGTTAGAGGAATTACCCCAGGACAGATCACTTGTAAATTGCAAGTGGACTTATAGATTAAAAAGGGATGGTGATGGGAAAATCACCAGATACAAGGCCAGACTCGTTGCGAAAGGATTTTCGCAGGTTCCCGGCATTGATTTCTTCGAGACATATGCACCCGTTGTCAGGCTGGACACATTCCGCCTACTTATGGCCATTGCCGCACAAAGAAACTTGATTATACATGGAATGGATGTCGTCGGAGCTTACTTAAATGGAAAGCTCAATGAATCCATTTACATGGCTCAACCGCCAGAATATTCTGATGGAAGCGGCAAAGTGGCACACCTCAAATTGACATTGTATGGACTCAAGCAATCTGGCCGAGTTTGGAACGAAAAATTAAACGCTACATTTTTGGGACTTGGATACACGAGATTGATCAGTGATCAATGTGTATACATCAGACAAGCGAAATCAGGCCCCATAATTATAGCTGTGCATGTAGATGACATGACATTGCTTGCCCAGGATGATGAAACCATGTCTAACATGAAAGAAGAACTTAAGAAGAAGTTAAATGTTACAGACATGGGGGAGATTCAACATATATTGGGCATGAAGATAGACAGAAATTGGGAGAAGGGCACTATTACCTTATCCCAGAAGGCATATATTCTCAAGGTACTCGAGAGAATGGGCATGAAAGACTGTAAACCGGTCAAAATGCCTATGGACCCGAATGTACGGCTAGAGAAAATCCCCGAAGGTGACCCCCGAGGCACTGACACAGCCACCAGACAGTATTACCACACTGGTGTCGGATCTCTGATGTATGCGGCAAATGGATCCCGGCCCGATATTGCACATGCTGTCACGGAATTAAGCAAATATGTGCAGAATCCGGCTGCTGAGCATGTCACAGCCCTCAAACGAGTTTTCCGTTACTTGAAGGGGACTCTAGACTTAGGAATTACATATGGAGGGACTACAGATGAACTGATACCCTATTCAGATTCAGACTGGGGAGAAGACAGAACAGATAGAAGATCAACATCTGGTTATGTCTGTACCTATGCAGGGGGAGCTGTTACTTGGAGTTCAAAGAAACAGCCCACCGTAGCCCTATCCACTATGGAAGCAGAGTATATGGCCCTCGCGCACACAACTAGAGAAGTAATATGGTTGCGAGCGCTTCTAACCGAATTAGGGTTGCCACCTGATGGTGCAACTACTATTATGGTCGACAATCAATCAGCGATCAAATTCGCTGAGAACCCAATATTCCACGCGCGATCAAAACACATTGATATCCGTCATCATTTTGTTCGCGAGCGCATGGCTTCAAATGAAGTCAAAGTTCAGCACTGCGCCTCAGAGGAGAATTTAGCAGATATATTCACTAAAGGACTACCAAGACCATTACATGAATATTTATCTGCAGGTATTCTAGGTACTCGGAATTGAGGGGGAGTGTTGGGATAGCAATCCCGAGTTAGTGCTAGAATGCACTCGAAGCTTCGGCATGACTAAGCGGCATGAACATTTAACCGCAATAGTAGGCACATATAGTAATCCGTAGTAAATTCTAGAAGTAGTACAACTTGTATTTAAGTACAATGCCTCTCCCTCGAGAGGCTAATTAATTCTCTCTCTCTTACATTCTCCTCTGTACTCCCAACATCTTATATATCCCCAATGGCAAAACAAAATGACGGAGGTTGGGCGTGGCGAGTGTCCTCATGGAACAGAGGTCGTGAACCGGGCCATGTGCCTGGCTTTGTTGGGCAAGGCTCCTGCGAGTTAATTCTTTTATGGCGGCATTTTCAAGTATAGCGTATAGCGATGGCTTTCAATCGTTACATATATTGAGTAGCAGAAAGGTATCACTGGAAATCAATATTTTGTATCTCTTTCGTCGGTAAAGTAAACTTGGAGGAATACGACCGCCTTGTACTGATGCCCAATTCATATTGAGTCTGATGGTGTCGAGATTCGGAGATGACCCACTGCCAGTGCGCGCCGCCATCCGTCCCAGCCTCCAAAATCCGTCCTTCCCAATTCTCGAGTCGACGCCTAGTCGCGCAGATGGGAAAGGAGCATGGCGGCGTCCCTGGAAATCCTACCAAGGTGTCCTGGAGTTCGTGTTAGTGGCCGTATGCCGAGCTTGAGGGCGTGATAGACGACGTTAGATGCTAGAAGAGAAACAACAATGAACTAACTCACCACGTTCGGCCGTTTATCGATATCTACCGTATTAGTACCCCTCGACGCAAGCCAAATCCTGGAGTCCTGTCGACACGTAAGGAGGTGGAAACCGTGGAACGAGGATGTTACCTCGGAGCGTGAGATTGGGACCACGCCACTCAAATCGCAAAGCTTGTAGCCGGGAGCCTTGCATTTGATCCTCCTACCCAACAAGAAATAGTGTCAGCAGATACGACGGAGAGTACTTATATCATTGAATACTTACTACGTGCCTATTCAACAAGCTTATCGCCATTTGAAGAGAAATTTCATGTAAGTTAAGGCCAATATGAGCAGCCTCAGATTGAAATAGAGTAGAAGCGTACAAGTCGAGGGGCAGTGCTCATATCTCCTGATGATGTCAGTGAACAAGTTGTACACGGCATCCTGCGGCATCACCAAGGACACTTGTAGAATGATCGATTGATCGTTCAAAGTACCATCAATCTTCTCATACACGTGTCTACCTTGTCTGCGGTAGCTAGCACCAACAACTATGGCCAACGAAGGAGGGTTATTTTTGCTTTCACTGTTTCTTCCTTGATATCTGTGCTCATATGTCCTCGCCGTAGTCGGATCCTTTTCATTCGTGGTTCGTGTCATCTACATTTGAATACTCAGTCCAGCCTTAAAGCTCTATAGAACTCGAAATCGTCAAGATCGCACCTACAAAAGAGTCAAGGTTTCGCTTGAAAATCACTGCTGGCGCCAAGAAGCAGAAAACAGAAGTAATAAAGATCGATGGGGTCGGCGTCCTGCCGAAGTGGACCCAAAATTTGACGCTGTAAGTTGTATATGCACCCATCTCATCTTGGTGGATGTCTCACGATTTCACAAGTGACTTCGACCCGCAAACTGTGGCTTTATGGGAGCTTTACGGTCGTCTGTGGATGAGCCCACATTTCAAGGTCCTTGGCAGCGCTGAGAAAACACTTGGAGAATTGTTTGGAGAGACTAGTACGAGTGCGTGCTGTATTTCTTTTTTTATTCTAACAAATGCTGATTTTTCTGCAGGCGCTAATATACATCTATACAACGGATCTTCTGAGGTCGCAGTCCTCAAAGTATCTTGCAAGTTGGGCGGTGCCAAGGATGTCATGACCGATGTCGTCCCGAACATCGAGAAACCCTCAGAAGGCTCCAAGCTTCTGGATAGCAACGACACTCTGGACACGGTGCTCAATGCCGTGAAGCAGATGATTGATGTTCTCGCGGACGTAGGCAATATTTTACAAGCTAATTCATATTGCTTAACAAGCCTCCTCCCAAGGTGCACCCCGCGGCTACCATCGCTTGGGGATTTCTGTCTATCGGATTCAAAGTGGGTTGTGGACGGTGTTCCCAGTGCATGGATATCTTCACATCATAGATACAGGTCTTAAAGAAGCAGCACGACACGAATCAAGCTATACGTGATCTTTACACAGACATGATATCAGCATATGAAGTGTTCAGCAAGGATGATATCTTAGAGCAGCGAGATCGGTTACGGGGAACATATAGTTCCTTGTTCAAGCAGACCATTGAGTGCGCCATTTTCATTGAAGGCTATACAAAAGAGAGCGGGATAAGTATGTTTATAAGCTACAATCATCTCATGATATTTGACGGTTCTTTCAGAGCATCTCTTCAAGATGGATATATCGGCCCAAGCCGAAATTTTTCGTCAGGCTTTCGTTGACCTGAAGAACCACTTGAGCATGGGATATGCAAAGGAGGCAGTCATTGTCACTCTCGGTGTCCAGAAAAGTGTGGATATTCTGGGTGCGCCGTTTTTCAGCTGCAGTGCTTCTTGAGTGCTGACCATTGACGCCTTTAGTCATGAGAGAACGGCTACGAGATCTCCATCCGCCTCAAGAGCTAGGCCCAAAATCGTGGTGTATGCAAGGAACGCGTGTCGCGACCATCAACATAATGGTGTCGTGGATTGCCCAGTGTGACGGCAGGACGATGTGGTGCAAAGGATTGGCGGGGACGAGGAAGAGTTCCCTGATGGGAACTCTCCATGAGCTACTCACAACGAATTTCGGAGGACGCAGTCGGCTTGCAGCATTCGTTCGCTACGACCGTATCGAGTATTCAAAAGCTAGCAAGTTAATCACCAGTATCGCATACGCCTTGGGAGTGTTTGACGACCGTATCGGGATGGCCATCTCCTTAGTTGTCCAGACATTGCCATCGGTGGCGACCTTGCCACCGTCTGCTCAGTTTCAGCTTCTACTCCGTAATCCGCTTGAATCCGTTCCTGATCTTGGTGATGGAGGACCTCTGGTTGTCATCATTGATGGATTGGATGAGTGCGACGCATCTGATGATATGCTGGCTGTCCTCGCCGAGGGATTCGGTCCGAAACTTCCCTTCATGCGGCTCATTGTGTCCAGTCGACCAGTTCATCACATAGCTACGGTGTTCGAGGGACAAGACTGCATATATCCACTCTATTTGGATACCTCCTCCAAGAGTATAGACCGTGATATCCAGTTCTATTTGGAGCGAGAGCTTGCAACCATACACGACAATGCGTTCCTGAAGAAGTGTGAAGAGCTAGATGCTGTCAATGAACTGACAGCACGGGCGAGTGGTATATTCATTTGGGTAGCGACTGTTGCGAAATTTATCCATGCATTTCCAGGGATATCAAGGTTGCAGGCTCTCCTAGACACGAAAATCCCTAGAGACGCCACCGAGGCTCTAACAACCTTATACTGCAAGGCTCTGGATACTCTCGTGTCTGAACCGGGTACCAATACGGATATTAAGAAGTATGTGCGAAGCGTTTTAGGTGCTGTGTTGGTGACCCAGACACCTCCAGGGATGACAGAGGACGTCCTTGATAAAATTGTCCTACTAGGCAAAGGCAGCCCTCCTTCGCGTCACATCGTGTCTATGCTAGGAAGTGTACTTAGCCCTGAAACTGAGGACTCGCCGATCCGACTCATACACAAATACCTCGACGCTTTCTTGCAGGATCGGAGTCGATGTGGAGATGAATGGTTCGTCGATGTCGCTTTGCACCACAAGGCAATAGCTGAACAGTGTCGGATTGTATCGAAATCATTTCTGAAGACATGGTCTCCCAAAAGTGATATGGACATCGGAGCCGTACCGGTGTATATATCCAAATATACATTGTTTGGAATGTTCTGGTATTCCGCTTTTGACAAGAGTGACATAGAACTATTCACTTCCTTTTTTCCCCGGTACTTTCGTCCATGGTTGGAGGTTGTTGTCACGGATGGCGGCATTCTCCATTTTGAAATCATGGACACGTTCTGTCGACAACATGGGCTAACACGCATGCCAATCGAAGTCGATATCCGCGATTCGGACACTATCCATCGTGTTCTTCAAAGTTCCGCTGCGTTTTACTGTCACCTTCACCATTCTGGCGAAGAGAGCCCCCTTGCTGGAAAGGTCACTCGAGTGTTTGAAACTCCAAGCAGTGGTACAGGGCTCTCCCTTCGACCCCTACCCCCCAATCGCCGCCATCCCCTTCTGGTTCCCTATCTTCTTCCCTACCACCTTTAACCCTACCGGCAATAACCTGAACATCGAAGATGTGATTTTCGTTGATGCCGATATGCAGACAAGATATGGATTTAAAATTGTCAATACCACATTGGTGCCTCTTTATGTTTCGATGTTCATTTTCAATGTCAGTTCTTTGAGCATTCGTACGTAGTCCTGTCGATCTTCACTCTTTGCTCTACTGACGAGATCCTGCCTTTTTAGATGCATTCTATCAACCGGGAAGTGCAGAAGGTGTTGATGATCCGCTTCCCGCCGGAAAATCATGGACCATCGGGTACGGCACCAAGCAAAGGACTGGTCCATGGACCTTCAATGTAAAAGAAGGACAAGATGTTGATGTTGGCTTCTTGAAGCTTTTCTTCTCGACAGAGTATCTAGACTTGTCGGCCATCATTCAAGAGTCACCTTTTAAAGGCTATCGCCAGAGGGTATCGCCTCTGATGAGGAAGATACCTTCCCTATATCATACAATGTGTGTTCCAATTGTTCAAAAAAGGGGAGCTGAAGCTGAGACCAAAGACGAGGAGGAGGGTGATATTGTGGAGAGTGAAGAGTAGACTTGTTTTAATTGTATGGCTGTTCATATATATAAATATTTTTACTGCATTTTGGCACTGTGTATTTGAATCGCGAGTACTGGTCCGGCAAGACCATCAATTACATTTCGAATATCTCAGGGTATCGTGATGATGTTTTTAGGCCTGAGCTGAGGGCGTAGATTATCGAATGCGTGTTTCTTTCCACTTTCATTGCTGGCCTAGGGTATACGGGTTTAGACACTCGGATAGAAGAAAACAGCAATATCGTACTTTAACTGCAAGACGATACATTGCTTTCGGAGAACATGCATCACCGACGTCGTACGAGCGTCCACCACTGGATTTGGGCGGGATGAAAGCGACCTCCTTCAAGTTGGTGTACATATATACTATTAAGGCTCGGAAACTAAACGGGCGGTGGATCCATGTCAATTATTGTGCAGGTAGAGATGTAGGGGTACGTACGTCCTGAAAGCCATGGCATTGACCAATGCCAGGTGTGCAAGAGATGCCACAGCTTTCTCTTGAGGCCGCTCCGCTTTGTAGGCCAAGCAGTCTTCGGAAAACCGGCCCGTAGGCTCATCAACGTCACAGGTACTTCTTTTTCATATTCAGAAATGCAAATACTATCAGATTTACTAGCACAGCGAGTCAATTGAGGTATGAGAACGAAGGCCTTTAATCGGTGAATGTTTGGATGGAAAATCAGCGTCTACGTCGAATATTGATACTGTAGACAACATTTTACCGCTAGGAGATTCGGGTGGCATAGACTAGACTGTATCCAGATTTGGGATATACGAAAGATAAGGCCCGGGCAAGTGGATCCGGTTCCCGCTCCCTGATAGTGATGTCAGACATTTCGGAGACGTCGCGGGGGGGGGGGGGGAGCCTCGTCCAAGTCAGATACGAGATCACTTTCTTCGCCATAGAGATACTGGTAGATGCCAGGTGGATGAGAATCATCTCCAACACGGGAACCATTCATATCTAGAAAGAGGGTATATATTAGTATTTACGAAGGAATGCAGCGCCAGATGAAACATACAGATATCCAAGAATGAGTTGCAGCCCTTCAAAATGTTTCTGCTTGCAAAAATGGGACGATGGTTGCATATGAATGGACCTTTCCCCGTCAGTGTGACAATGAGATCAGTGAAAAGTTCGCCCAGTCGAAGGGATATCGCAGCGCCCGAGATGAGTTGTCGCGGTTCGTTCGACCTCTTTTACTCTCTTACCTCCACCTTCCCAGCCTCGTCCATATTGGGACGTTTAGTGCATGTGTTACGCATTAGCACGTGTCTTGCGAGGTGTTGCGACCAAAATAGCATGTTTGGCACACCGGCATTAAGTCAAACAAAGCGACGACTCCGTACCGCCATTCTCGTACTTGTTTTTGATCTCCCTTTTTCGTCCGGCAACGTTGTTCGAGGCCTTTCAAGACACTCTCGCTGCAGGGTGATTTCAAAGCATCCTGTTAGTAGAAGTCGGCATTGATTTTGGATGACAATTCACCTTGATTTTCAGCTTTTTCGATTGCTCCAAAGTTCAAGCACTCGACGTGAACCGCAATTTCTTCAAAAATTTGTCTCCGGCGAGCGAATCCCTACCAAGAGGACTTCAACGTTGGCACAGAGTAGGCGTGGAATGTGGGTGATGGCCGTTTTAACCATCCACCCTTCCCCTGGTCGTCGTTCCCAGACAGACTCTCTCTCGACGACTGGATTCAAGACGACTAATCCAAGGACCTGATTTTGGGTCAAGACAATGTTCGCCATCCGGCAAGTAGCGCCTACACGTCGTGAAGGGAAAGACTTGTTCGTCGCACTTGACCATGATGGGAGCCGGGAGACAATAACGACAGCATACCGTCGGATGAAGCGGGAGGTAGATGTGCTGGGAATGGTTAGTCTCTCCGATTACTTGCATTCATTGGCACTCACATCTCTGTAGCTCGATCTTACCTACATGACTCTCCTTCACATGACGACCTCAAGTACCAAATCTTGGCCATTAACGATGTATCGAGGACAGCTACCCAGACTCAGTGTATCATTGTCCGGTGAGCATACAACGATACTGGGAGTAGATGACGTGGGAAGGAGAATAGCCGCGGACATGCGCAGGAGTAGCCCGATCTCACTCGGTTGAAGAATACGCTCAAGGGACATATCGAGCCCTTCCAAATACAAACGCAACATCGTGGCATCTGGCGCGCTTGGGAGCGGGAATTTGGCACTATGCAGCGAAAGCAGACGGAGACTACGGATTCGTGTCTGGAGGGTGGCGTAAGGTTCTCTCTCACAATTCTATAACTTTGGCTAAATTGCATTATCCACCAGTATGTTCGATGCCGGCGTTCCTGCTAGTTACGGTCTGCAAAATCCCATCCGCGCTATTTGGCGACTGGCAACAAACGCGCCTGAACCATGACTACGCGACCAGGGTGTGCCTACTATCTTCTTGTCTAACATGAGGCTCTCGCGTGTCGTACAACCCACGCAGTCCGTTTATCCCTCTAACACCGTTGCCGCTGTGTGCCCACTCCTTATGCCAATGACTACTTTTCCTGCCCCATATCTTCCTCAACAGCCTCGCCGCTCTTGCAATGACCAGATCTCGTCGTGGAGATTTCGCTGCGGACAAGTAAACCGGTAAATGAGTCATAAGTGTGTCCATTTTTGTCCTAATCTCTCGTGATTCGAAAGCTTACTCTTGCTAGCTCTGGCTGCTCATGGGCGTCAAGATACACTTTTGATAATGTCGCCTAATGCCATCGATACGATGCAGCAACATAGTTTCCCACGGAGGAATCGTTCCTTCGACAACACTTTGACCGTTAGCCAGATGATCTTGGAAAAGAGACGACCCCACGAATCGTCCTCATCTCCACCGTTGCAGGCCGAGTTCTCTCCGTTCTGTTTATCAGTGAAGTCGGCAGCATACATCGAACACTAAGCCATTTGGATTAGAATGGATTACAGAGTGTTCCATTAAAGTCGACACATCCGGCGGTAAACGCACTCATACCTCTCTCGAGGACCTGTTCGTTCGCGTACAAGACTAAAGCTGTGAAGGTTGTGGAGAGTCTAGGCCTAGGAACCTGCCTCGTAAAGGCTACCTTAGCAGAATCAGAATTGATTTACTGATCGAACCTCACCCTCGAAATCGAGGTTATGCTGCCTTTACAACCAAATCCCGCTCTTACGTCTTGGCATGGGACGTCCCATCTACATCACGATGGGAAACTGCCTATCGATCTCAAGCTCCGGGGAGCGGAGTTTGCGAGCAGTGCATTCTTGGAAGGGGTACACGCCGTTCGTGGATAAATGTACGCACACCATCGTTGTGAAGGGAAACTTATTGACACTCGGCTGTTAGATATTAAGACGGGTGTGAAAGCAGTTAACGCCAATTTTGACGATTGCGAGTCGGATATGGATGACGCAGATAGTGGTTTCAACGAGGATGATGGTGATCAGAGTACGAAGGACATCGACACCGCACTGGCGCCGCCTATGACAGGTAATTTCTCCTTGTGCTTGGTGCGTAATTATTGACTGATAACTATCAGAACCGTCATGGCCAGATTTTGAGTGCCAAAACCTTCAACGAGTGTATGAGGAGCCGTATTCAGCAGACCATCCTTTACAAAACCCCTCGATAATGGCTTCCTTATCAGGATCATCACCACGAACGGCGTTAGCATCTCTGTCTGTCGATGACATTGACCCACCAGCAGAAGAAACCACAGCCGAGCCTCTTGATGGTGTGTTATCGCCAGTTTCATACAGAGAGAAAATCCATGAAACAGAAGTACAAGGGGCAGAGCCCTTGGGTCTATCTGACATCTGAATGACGCCGCGTATAAGACGTGCGTCGCTTTCATTGAACTTGCGATCCACTCTAATTATATGCTAGTTGGAAAGCCCTTCTGGCGCATTTGTACCCTCGCGATCTCTCTTTTGCATCTCTCAAGCCCAATGAGATCGCAACAACGGATGCATATCCGTCCAAGTCGATGTATCGCTCCGCTGTGAAGGCGAGCGATTACAGGCACAAGCTTATTTTATTTCTTCTGGTTTCCCAATCAGGCTGGACATTCGTACGCAGTTGACGCCGAGTAACATCATCGGCGAAGCTTCAGTGGTCGGTACGTTCTCGGTTAGTTTTACGGCCTGGTTCTGATAATGATCCTGCTTAGGTACCCCGAAATACTTGATATGGTTGGTCGACCACATCGCAAACCCTCTTATATATCCTCAATGGCAAAGGAAAATGGCATAGGTCGGGCATGGCGGGTGTCCTCGTGGAATTTGTTACACATTAAGTAACATGCAGGTATCAGAAATTAAATAATGTCTTGTATCCCTTTAGTCGGCGACGTAAATTCAACGGATCAGCCCAGGCTATTGAGTCTGGTATCTCAGGCTTACGGTGTCGATTGAAGCTTTTGGACGGTCCTTGTGGGGGTTGCGGAAGTGTACTTGACGCAGGCATCTCGCGATGGTGGTACTCATGAAGTCGACCGCGAATCGTGGTTCAAATTTGACCCTCGGCGGCGGCAGACTCTCGTCAGTTTGAACAAGTGGCGTTGAGGGCAATTTTTGTGGTGGCCAAGGAGGCTGCGGAGGTGTATCACATAGGCACGCCTGATGACCTGGTCGCCGTCGATGGAGAATCAACGTTTCAACGAGCGTACCCTTGAATGACCCTGCACTCAGCGTATCCGGCGTTGAACCAGGTGGTTTTCGTCTCCTCGAAAGTACTGGTGGTACTGGTGAAGTCGGAAGTGAATCGTGGGTCAAAGGGGACATTGTCGAATCCTCCGTCCTGAGAATCGGAGACGTTAACGACAGTTTTGCGAACGCGTCTGTTGGACTCAACGGCGATGGCGATGTCGGCATCCGAGCTCGGCCTTTCCTCGTCTTTGGCAGAACTACCCATCCTCACTCTCCTTGTTCCGTCCTTTTCTCCACCGGCAAGACCTCCTTCGCTTTCTTTTGGCATCATCTCGAGTACACAGCTCATCCTACCATCACCTGCACGAGCCACGAACGCAAACATTCCTTCCAAGGCATCGACAGCTTCAAGCTTCATAGTATTGGTAGCAGGTATGGTACTAAATGAAAATGTAAGCCTTGGTCGCAAAAGTACCAAAAAAGCGGCTCACCCGAAGAATTAATCCAGTCAGTGCGCTTCCTCCGCGGTTGCTCCAAACATGGCTTTCGGTTGCCCAATATACGGAGTGAGCCTATCAGCGACCGTGGCTATAGAAAGCTGGAGATGAATCAGGATCAATGAGCGCTACCACGTGCCTGGTTCGTCTTCCCTTCCGCGTAACCGAGCACTGGCAGATGACTTTTCTAGCAAACGTAAAACGAGGAGAGGAGTTGAGCTGAAAGGACTCTAGACCTGTAACCGGTCGTCTTCCATATATGGGAGCAAGCTCACGATATATTCATAAGACCGTGAGCTTGCTCCCATATATGGAAGACGACCGGTTACAGGTCTAAAAGGACTCGGCGCCGCACTGCGAGGTTGCCATCCGAGGTGATTCTCAATTAAGGCTCGCCATGAGTTGAACAAGTTGTACGCGGCATCACCAAGGATACGTGTGGGATGATTGATTGATCGTTCAAATGTTGTGGGACTTCCCATACATGTGTCAACCTTGTCTGCAGTAGTCAGCACCAACAACCATGGCCAATGAAGGAGGGTTAGTTTCGCTTTCACTGTTTCTTCCTTAATTTCTGTGCTCATATGTCCTCGCTGTAGTCGGATGCTTTTCATTCGTGGTTCGTGTCATCTACATTCGAATACTTGGTCCAGTGTTGATGTGCTGCACAGAGGCCGAAATCGTTACGATCGCAGCCCCAGGAAAGTCGAGGGTTCACTTGAAGATCACGGCCGGCAACAAGAAGAAGAAAACAAAAGTAATCAAGAAACCTGATAGAGGTGTCATGCCCGGTGGCGCGTTGACTATAAATATGAACCTGTAAGTTGGTATATGTGCTCTTTCGTCTTGGTGGATGTCTCATGATCGCAGTGACTTCGCCCCGCAAACCAGGATTTTATGGGAGCTTTACGGTTGTCGTTGGCCAGTGATCCCACGTTACAAGGTCCTTGCCAGCGTCGAAAAGACACTTGGAGAATTGTTTGAAGGGAGTACTAGTACGAGTGCGTGCTGTGCTTATTTCTTTCTTCTGATATATCCTGATTTTTTCTGTAGGTGCTGATATACATTTATTCAACGGATCTTCCGAGGTCGCAGTCCTCAAAATATCTGCCCAGTTGGATAGTCCCAGTAATATCGTGATGGCTGTCGTCCCAAATATCGAGAAACCCTCAGAGTGCTCCAAGTTTCTGGATCCCAGTACTCTGCAGACGGTGTTCGATGCTGCGAAGACGATGATCGATACTCTCGCGGGGGTAGGCGACATTTTACATGTTAATATATATCGCTTGACGAGCCTCTTCCCAAGGTCCACCCTGCGGCTACCATCGCTTGGGGATTTCTCTCTATTGGATTTGAGGTGGGTGTCAACGGTGTTCCCAATGCACAATATCTTCACATCATAGAGGCAGGTCCTGAAGAATCAGCGTGACACGAAAGATGCAATATGGGATCTTTACAAGGACATGATATCGGTGTATGAAGAGTTCAGCAAGGATGATATCTTAGAGCAGCGTGATAGGTTACAGGGAATCTATAGTTCCTTGTTCAAGCAGACCATCGAGTGCGCCCTTTTCATCGAAGGCTATGTAAAGAAGAGCGGGATAGGTACGCATTTGGGTCACAATCATCTTACGATATCTCACAGCTTTCCCAGGGCGTCTTGTCACAATGGACATATCGGACCAAGCTGAGAAATTCAGTCATGCGTTCGCCGACCTAAAAAGCCAGCTGAGCATGGGATTGATAAAGGAATCAGTCACTGTCACTCTCGGCGTCCAGCAACTTGTGAATGACGTCCAGGAGCGCGTGGACCTTCAGAGTGCGCCGTTCTTCAGCTGCAATTCGCTTTAAACGCTGACCGTTGAGACCTTTAGTCATGAGAGATCGACTACGAGATCTCGAACCACCTCAAGAGCTGGGCCCAAAATCACGCTGTATGAAGGGAACTCGTGTTGCGACGATCAACAAGATGATATCGTGGATTTCCCAGTGTAATGGCGAGATGATGTGGTGCAAAGGCTTGGCAGGAACAGGGAAGAGCTCTTTGATGGGAACTCTCCATGACTTACTCACGGACATGGGGGGACGCAGTCGGCTTGCGGCCTTCATTCGCTACGACCGCATCGAATATTCGAATGCCAGCAGGTTAATCACCAGTATCGCTTATGCCTTGGGAATTTTCGACGTGCGCATTGGGATGGCTATCTCCAAGGTTGTCGAACAATCGCGATCGGTGGTGACTATGGCGGACCCGTTTGCTCGGTTTCAGCTACTACTTCGTAGTCCACTTGAACGCATCCTTGATCTTGTTGATGAAGGACCCCTGGTTGTCATCATTGATGGATTGGATGAGTGCAACGCGTCTAGTGAACTGTTGACCACACTCGCTGAAGGATTTGGTCCGAAACTTCCCTTCATACGGCTGATTGTGTCCAGCCGACCAGTTCATCACATAGCTACGGCGTTCGAGGGACGAGACTGCATATATCCGCTCCATTTGGATACTTCCTCGAAGAGTGTAAACCGTGATATCCAGTTTTATTTGGAGCGAGAGTTTGCAACCATATGCAACGATGTGTTCCTGGAGAAGTGTAAAGAGCTAGATGTTGTCAATGAACTGACAGCACGGGCGAGTGGTTTATTCATTTGGGCAGCGACTGTTGCGAAATTTGTCCGTGCATGTCCGGGGATATCGAGGCTACAGGCTCTCCTAGACACGAAAACCCCTAATGGCGCCACTGAGGCTCTGACAACCTTATACCGCACGGCTCTGGATACTCTCGTGTCTGAACCAGGTGCCAATGTGGATATTAAGAAGTATGTGCGAAGCGTTTTAGGTGCTGTGTTGGTGACCCAGACACCTCCAGGGATGACAGAGGACGTCCTTGATAAAATTGTCCTACTAGGCAAAGGCAGCCCTCCTTCGCGTCACATCGTGTCTATGCTAGGAAGTGTACTTAGCCCTGAAACTGAGGACTCGCCAATCCGATTGATACACAAATCCCTCCACGATTTCTTGAAGGATCGGAGTCGATGTGGGGATGAATGGTTCGTCGATGTCACTCTGCACCGCAGGGCAATAGCCAAACAGTGCCGGATTGCATTGAAATCATTTCTGAAGACATGGTCTCCCAAAAGTGATGTGGACATTGGAGCCGTGCCGGCGTATATATCCAAATATGCATTGTTTGGAGTGTTCTGGTATTCTGCTTTTGACAAGAGTGACTTAGAACTATTCACTTCCTTTTTCCGCTGCTACTTTCTTCCATGGTTGGACATTGTTGTCACGGATAGCGGCGTTCTCCATTTTGAAATCATGGACACGGTCTGTCGACAACGTGGGCTAACACGCATGCCATTCGAAGTCGATATCCGTGATTCGGACACTATCCACCGTGTTCTTCGAAGTTCCACTGAGTTTTACCGTCACCTTCACCATTCTAGCAAAGAGAGCCCCCTCGCCGGAAAGGTTACACTCGAGTGTATGAAACTCAAAATGAGAAATGGCTCCTTCAAGCCTAGCGGCAATAACCTGAACATCGAAGGTGTGATTTTTGTTGATGCCGATGGGCAGACAAAATATGGATTCAAAATTGTCAATACCACATTGGTACCTCTTTATGTTTCAATGTTCATTTTTGATGTCTGTGATTTAGAAATCCGTATGTAGTCCTGTTGATCTTCACTCCTTGCTCTACCGACCAGATCCTGCCTTTTTTAGGTCCACTATATCAACCGGGAAGTGCGGAAGGTGTTCATACTCCCCTCCTCCCTAGAGAATCATTGACCATCAGGTACGGCACCAAGCTCTGGGACGTATGTTCCTTCAGTATAAAAGAGGGACAAGATGTCGATGTTGGCTTCTTGAAGCTTTTCTTCTCGACAGAGTATCTAGATTTGTCGGCCATCGTCCAAGAGTCATCTTTTGAAGGCTATCACCAGAGTGTTCCATCTCCGATGAACAAGATACCTTCCGCATGTCATGCAATTTGTGTTCCAATTGTTCAGAAATGGGTAGCGAGTGCCTCGCAACGCCCCGGAGGCAGGTTACAGTGGCCAGGGCCGCTAGTATGATTTCCATTTTGTTGATTTGACATTGCTCCCAAGTACATCCCGCAGTAGTATGTACCATACCTAGTGTACCCCGCAGTCCATTATTCTTATACAAGGTTCGGCCTCCTTTGATAGTACCTCGTCCCTTAAGTTCACTAGCCAAAATCTGAACATACCTCTCTTTTCGTACTTCATTTGCGTCCAATCCCGAAACCATGGAAGTAGTCGGGAGTCTACTTTAGCAGAGTCTGGTTTGATATACAGCCGAACCTCACCCTCGACATAGAGGTTACGCTCCTGTTTCAACCAAATCCGGCTCTTACGTCTGAGTCGAGGATATGTAGCGAGCTTGAGTGCAAGACATGCGACATTAGATACTAGGAGAAGAGAACCAACAACTCACCAACTCACCATGGTTTGACCTTTTTATCGATATCCACCATACTAGTGACCCTTGACGAGTACCAAATCCCAGAATTCGGATACTACCCAATGACGTGTTAGTTTGTGAAAACACAGTGAACATAGGCGATGTGCCTTGGAAAGGGAGACTCATCCTGCAAAGTGAGGAATTTTCAACGTTATTCCCATATAATTCCTCCCTCATAATCACCTCCTCATACCGTCTACACACCCGACAACTCGCATCCCAACTCAGTCCAATTTGAGACTCCTCGACGCGTGTCGACCCTCGGAGGATTGAATAAGTGGCGTCGAGGGCGATTTTTGTGGTAGAAAGGAGGGACGTCGCCAAGGTGTATCACATAGGCACTTCTGACGAACTGGTTGCCGTCAATGGAGAATCAATGGACGTGTTCTCGAATGGCTCTGCACCCAGTGCATCCAGCGTTGAACTAGGTTGTTTTTGTCTCCTCCTCGAGAGCGCTTGCGGTACTAGTGAAGCCAGCAGAGAATCGTGGATCAGTTGGATTCTCCGCCTTGAGAATCGAGGATATTAACGAAAGTTTTGCAAATGCATCTGTTGGGCTGAAGGGTAATGGCGACGTTGGCATTCATGCTTGGCCTTTCCTCATCCTGGGTGGTACTCCTTGTTCCGTTCTTTTCTCCACCGGCAAGACTTCTTCACTTCCTTTCGCTTGTGCTTTCCTTTTCCTGGTACAATCTTGGCGCCACCTCTCTCCCTTGCTCTGCTTCCCGACCAGCGGATCTAGGTTGCCAGCCTTCCAATCCCCTCTGTGCATCACCTCGAGTGCACAACCCATCCTGCCGTCGCATGCGCAAGTCATGAAAGCTCCCTCCAAGGCGTCGACAGCTTCGACCTTCCCTTCCTCACCACCATGTATGGGATGGGCATCGTCCCATTCCCATCCAAGCACTATCTCATCTCCGGCACTTAGCTCTTGTATGGTAAACCTGAACCCATCGTCATGCGGCAGCTCACACATGCACTGGAGCGTAGAGTCGTCAGGAGAGAATATTTGCTTGGCCGTCATCGAAGTAGAAGCACAGGGAGAAGAGGAAGCACAGGGTAGCGTTGGTAGCAGGTATGGTACTAAGAGAAAGTATAAGTCTTGGCCACAAGTACCCAAAAAAGAGAGGCTCACCTGAAGAAATCAAGTCAAACGTGCTCATTGCGCAGTTCATCCGATATGGCTTCTGGTTTCTCAGTATATGGAGTGAGCCCAGCAGTAACCAATGGCCATAAAAATCTGGATATAAATGAGTACCGGCACAGATCAATGAATACCGCTACGTACCTGGTTTGTCTTCCTTCCCGCGTAACCGAGCACTGGCAGATAAATTTTATCGCAATACAAAATGAGGAGACATGTCGCACTGAGCAGAGTCAACGTCTAGCTGTTATTTGCCATTTGACAGATAGATTACACTTGGTGGACGACCATGCTCAAAATGGAACCTTAAATAAAAAGAGAACCCAGCCTCATCCATACTGGGACGTTTAGTGCGCGTGTGTTACGCGTTAGCACGCGTCTTGCGAGATGGGTGTTGTTGACCAAAATAGCATGTTTGGCTCGCCGGCATTGAGTCAAACAAAGCGATTACTCCGCACTGCCATGATGCCATCCTCTCCATAACGAGTGTACCGTCGGATGAAGCGGGAGGGAGGTAGGATGTGCTGGGAATGGTAAGTCTCTCCGATTACTTGCATTCATTGGCACTCACATCTCTGTAGCTCGATCTTACCTACATGACTCTCTCCTTCACACGACGACCTCAAGTACCAAGTCTTGGCCACTAACGATGTGGCAGCTACCCGGAGTGTATCATTGTCCGGCGAGCATACAACGATACTGGGGGTAGATGACGCGGGAAGGAGAATAGCCGCACTGGACACACGCGGGAGTTCGCCCACATAGCCCGATCTCACTTTCGATTAAAGAATACGCTCAAAGGACATATCGAGCCCTTCCAAATACAAACGCGACGTCATGGCATCTGGCGCACTCGGGAGCGGGAATTTGGCACTATGCGGCGAAAGCAGACGGGGACTACGCATTCGTGTCTAGAGGGTGGCGTAAGGTTCTCTCCCATAATTCTATAACTTTGGCTAAATTGTATTATCCATCAGTATGTCCGATGCCAGCGTCCCTACTAGTTGCGGTCTGAAAAATCCCCTCCGCGCTATTTGGCAACCGGCGACAAACGCGCCTGTACCATGACTACGCGACCAGGGTGTCCCTACCATCTTCCTGTCTAACATGAGGCTCTCGCGTGTCGTACAACCCATGCAGTTCCTTTATCCCTCTGATACCGTTACCGCTGTGTGCCCACTCCTTATGCCAATGACTATTTCTCCTGCCCCATATCTTCCTCAACAGCCTCGCCGCTCTCGCAATGACCAGATCTCGTCGTGGAGATTTTCGCTGCAGGCAAGTAAACCGGTAAATGAATCATAAGTGTGTCCATTTTTGCTGCGATCTCTCGTGATTCGAATGCTTATTCTTTCTTGCTAGCTCTTTACTCTACATGGACGTCAAGATGCACCTTTGATAATGGTGCTTGATGCCATCGATACGAACGCCAACAGCACAGCAACGTGGTTTCCAAATCTTTTGGTAAAATGCTCGGCCTTCGACAGCACATTGAACCCCCGGTCTCCGCTAGCCAGATGTTATTGGAAAAGAGACGACCCGACGAATGGTTCTCGTCTACATCACTGCAGGACAAGTCCTCCTTCTCCGTTCTGTTTATCAAAGAAGTCGGCCAGCATACACTGAAAAGCGAGCCATTCGGATTAGGATGGATTGCAAGGTGTTTCGTCAAAGTCGACACCATCGGGGGCAAATGTGCTTTAATGCAATCTCGGGCGACGTTTATCTTCTACATTCTGCCCGACTTTTGCGCCACGATGCCGTTTCGAATTCGGGCGAGCAAGGACGCAGCGTTGGTAGTTGCAAGACTCATTTTCAACACGAACGATACATCTCCCACCCAAGGTTCTCCCTGGACAATGGCTTTTGCGCCACCACGACGTGTCAACATCTGGCGAGCAAGGGCATGACGTTGTGAGCGCTGTACCGTGTGTTTCTGAGGTGTGTGGAGTCTAGGGAGGATGTGCAGGAAGACGGTACGTACCTACCACATCAACGGCTGTTTTTGTTGCTAATCATTCCAATACAGGCTACTCGTCACGCGTCAAGCTTCAAGGCTTGTGTTCAATAGGAACGATGCATTTACCATCCAACGCACTCTTTTAATGACGACCTTCGCACTGTGACGACGTATCGACGTCCGGCGAATGCTGTATGGGCGAGTAGATGTTTCCGAAGCGTCATATTTCTTTAAAGCTAATGATCTCCATATAGGATGTCGACGGTACCTTTTCTTTCTAATTGTATCCAGTGTCGGCGCCACCATCGTGCGTCTGTTCAGAAGGAGGAAATCAGTGTGGATCTCCGCACCATCCTTTTTCTGCTGTTCGATGTTAACTCCATTCTCTTCAGCTGTGTAGTCCCCGAACTAAATTAATATTCCTGATGACTGTGAGCTTTTCCGTACCCAAAATCTTGAATCTTGACTTAAGCTACCTTTTCAGACTCAACTCGACTCTACCGCAAGCTCGAAAGCAGGAGCCGCGCCTTCGTTCGTCCCCGTTTTGTGTGTCGCGCTTGAGTAAGGAGGGGGTGTCCTCTCATTCATGCCCCGGCTAAGCGTAGTCTCCACTTGAAACTATTCCAATGAGAAACCAAGGCTGGCTCGCAGTTTGTGTGCCAAAAGGCAATAAAGAACGGGATGGGATCCCCGTCGGACAGAAACGCAACGAAACACCCCCCGGTCAGAGCCAAGTCAGAGCATGTAGGATTATAATCTCCCGACTGACGCTCTTTTTGGGGGCATACAGTGGGATCTCATTCATAACTTTTATAACTATTCTTTGACATTTTCTCTTTACTTTGTGTACGCGACCAGTATCAATAACAACTCGCTGCTTTCCAATTCCTTATCGCGCTCATCATTGTCAAGAAATCGGGCTTTTTGTGCTCGCGTTCGTCATCGTTGATGGAATACACTGCCACTGAATACCCTGACAAACGGCGAGCACAAAGACCAGCTTCGAGAAGATCTCCACATCTAGAAAGAGGATGTATATTAGGGTGTGGCTCCGATAGCCTTCGACATCAATAACAGAGCTTTTTTGGGGGGTCTTTCATTGGGTCTGAGTGAAGGAACATGGTGATGACCACGTCAATGAAGAGTTCGCTCAATGGAAGAGGGATATCGCAGCACCCGAGCGAGATGGTGCTCTCTCCTTGCAGCACCAAATTCTGCTGATCATTCTCTAGGGACACGACCCCCTGACGCACAAATCGATAGGGTCCCAAGCTGAAAACCCGCGGAGCTTGACTGGGGCAGGTATCTCTCTTGGATTTCTCGAGCCGCTTCTTCGCACCATTTTTTTCCCTGGACGACAAAATAATGCAATGGAGCAACCCACTAGAGGTAGACTTAAAAGACGACTACCAGAGATCATCATCTGCGAGCCATGCCTGGCGCTAACATTGGCAAAGGACTGTCAAAAAAGGTCGAGGACTAGCCATCACCGACTACAGTAACAAGATGATGGCGAAAACGAGACGCTCTCGCCAACATCAAGTACGTCGAAAACGTGCGGAGCCGGACAAAGTCCAGATACTGAGCACATCCTCGACATTCACCAGCCCGAGTGCTCATCACTGAGGAAGAGTGATTGCCGAGCTCCGAGGATTTCAATGAGACGGTCTGTATTTATGCTTTTAAGTCAATCATATCTGGAGGAATCAATAGCTTCACCTCGGCAGCGATAATTACTACCGTATGCACCACATTCATCCTGTGCACGTGCGGCAACCAAAACGTAGTTTGGATCCAATTCGACAGACACCCTTCGACGAGCCGCCATCCCTCCCGGCCTCCAAAATTTATCCCTTCCAATCCGCGAGGAAAGCGTTGACGCCTATCATCGTGCAAGTCCGAATCCAGGATGCTACCTCCATCATAAGGAAAGCAGATGGGAAAGGGAGCATCGCGGTGTCCCGGGCAATCCTACCGAGGGGACCTTGTGTTCGTAAAAGTGGCCTTGTGCCAAGCTTGAGGACGTGATAGACGACGTTAGATACTAGAAGAGAAACAACAACGAACCCAACTCACCACGTTCAGCCGTTTATCGATCTCCACCATATTAGCAACCCTCGACGCACGCCAAATCCTGGAGTCTTGTAATATCAAACGACGCGTAAGCAGATGGAAACACAGTGAAACGAGGCGACGTTACCTTGGAGCGTGAGATTGGGATCACACCACTCGAATCGCGAAGCCCACAGCCAAGAGCCTTGCATTTGTTACATCCTACCAAGCAAGAAACAGTGTCAGCAGATACGATGGAAAGTATAACATAGAATACGTACTTCGTACCTGTTCAACGAGCCTGTCGCCAATTGAAGAGAAATTTCAGCCAATATGAGCAGTTACAGATTGAAATAGAGTAGTAGCCTACGAGTCGAGTCCTGGACTGAATAGTATGCACCCCAGTAATGTTGATTTCCCTACGCAAGATTAGAATAAATGAAGTTATCGAGGGGAAAAGAACAGGACTCGCCGTGTCGTCGTGGTCACTGTCAAAGTGACGAAACATAGTATTATCAACGAACAAAATCCAGTTCGGCGATAATGATCACGAGAACAAACGATCTAGCCCGCTGCTTCGACGACGAGGTGTACAGCAGGGAGGAGTAGCCAGACACGTTTTCAACAGCGAGTGCGGGGCTCGCTCCCAAGAATCAACGGCCATATCCTCCAATGGCTCTGCACTCAGTGTGTCCGGCGTCGAACCAGTTGATTTTCATCTCTGGAGAAGTCGGCAACGACTCATGGATGAAATTAAAGGTGACATTATCGAATCTGGTTAACGACAGTGTTGCGAATGCGTCTGCTGGACTCAAGCTCAAGGGTGAAGGCGACGTTGGCATCCGAGCTCGGCCTTTCCTCGTCTTCGACGGCACTATCCCCCCCTTTGTTCCGTCCTCTTCTCCACCGCCAAGACCTCCTTGGCTTACTTTGGGCATCACCTCAAGTACACGGCCCATCCTCCAAGGCGTCGACAGTTTCAAGCTTCATAGTACTGATAGCGGGTGTGATACTAGGTGAAAATAGGCCTTAGTCGCACAAAGTACTATAAAAAAGGGTCTTACCCGACGAGTCATGTCAAACGTGCTCCCAGCATGACTTTCGCCCAGCCGTGAACAATGGCCATAGCAAGCAGGAGATCAATGAGTACCGGACGGGCCAACGTACGGCCACGGTTCGTCTTCCCTCACTGTCAAATAAATTTGCAAGCAAATGCAAAATGAGAAGTAGGTGGCAAGTTTGGCGTGTAACGCGTTAGCCTTCGGAGTACTTGGCGTCGACTGGTATATATCCTCCGGCTCCGATGGGGGAACGGAAATGAGAGAAGGTAGAAGATGCTCCACAACATGGTCAAAAGGAGAGTGGGGAGTGGTATGAAGTTGGCGGCCTGAAGTAAGGTTGCAAATGCATGATGTCTTAAGGTCCGGAGATTTGGACTTGCTTTGAATACGTTTCTGCATATTAGAGACACCAAAACAGGCGTATCTGGTTGAACATAGTCAATATCTTTGTACGTGACTATGGGTAATAACTTTACTTTGTAATAAGCTGGACTAGGATGATGTTCCCACTCAAATTACTCTCCCAAGTTCATGCAGGGTGGCTCGGTTACGGTGAATGACGATCGTCAATGAAAGAGTTGTCCCGTCGAATCTTGAGGCTTGATATATATGATACTTCAAGCCGCATCTTTGTTCACACGAATTTGTTCCAAGTTAATCCTGGCTATGTCAGTCAGACGAAATCCGAGTCGACTCGAGTGCGTTGCTGGCAAGCACAGCAAGTACTCAGCTGGTCGGCAACCAGGCATGATGTAATGCTGTTTTGTCGTTCGACGGATGGCGACCTGCTGGTCCGTGTGTCCTTGTTGTTTTCCCTCTTTCACCGGTAATGACAACGACGACTGTATATATGCGAGCTCAGCTCCGTGATGTCGATGAAAAACCATGACTAGGACTTACATCGACGACAACGAAGTAAATATTCTGTCCAGGCATCCCAACACGCCTATTGCGCCCTTTGCCTACCACCTCTGAAGATCTGAACGTAACCTTGCTACCCGCATCCGACTCCCGACTGCCATCTCTCTCCTTCCCTTTCCATATACCTACGGCCGTTCCATGGTACAGCAACAGATCACCTCTCTCCGTAAAGACCTCTTCGTCCGTCTGCCCTACCTCCCCTCCCGCGCACTCTCTCCGGGTGTCCGTGCACCTCTCATACGCATGCATGTCCCGTCCTCGTCGCACTCTACACGTACACACATCCCAACTACACGCCCGCACAGACTAGAACCGGCCTCGTTAGTATGAAAACCTTTGCAGTGACAGGACTTACTTTCGTCAATCTCCCTATTCAGTGCCACTTTGACTGGTGCACATCGCATTAACTATAGACCATTAGCCTTGTGTTCGTACAATAAAATGATTATCCTTACCTTTGAATCCTCGTTTAAAATCCGCCTCAAGATGAACGGCACGGCACGTCTTGTGGCGGGATGTCTGTGTGCGGGGGAGATATATCGTCGACATGGCCGGTGTAAGGAAGACTGCAGAAAAATTGAGATAATGAAAAAGTAGATCAGAGGGTAGAATGTGCACCTTGGCTACCACTATCCCTTCCTAACACTGTGCAAAGCAACCAGCGAGCGGTGCCGGCTTCAGGGCCTACGCAGAGATTAGTTAGCTCATGATTCAAAAAAGGTTGATCGAAGTCCTTGCGTCAAGAAAACGAAATCCTAAGCCATATATCTTCACTGTAACGTCTGTCGTTAGTCTAGAGACTCGCAAAATAAGGAAACGAATCCCAAAACAATGTGAAGCAATCTACTGGCAGAAACGACTACTAAACTCCTCATCACCAAGCAAATTCCGGTATTGATGTTGGGAAGGGTAGTTCCAGTCAAAAAAGGGCGAGAATGGACCGCCACTGGCTACAACCAACAAGGCAAACATCCAGCACATCGAGCTAGACAAAGCCCGGCTGCGATGATCTCAACGAGGAACACATGCTCGACACTCACCAGCCCGAGTACTAAGGGAGTGTGAGTGCCCGGGAGTGCCGAGTATTCCATTGAAGCAACCTTTATTTATGTCTTTAGATCAATCATATGCGGAGGAATCAATAGACTCACCTCGGCAGCGATAATTATTAGCGCACGCACCACGCTCAACCCGTGCGCGGCAACCTGAACCCAGTCTTAATCCAATTCGGCGCCCTCCCAGCCTCCAAAATCCATCCCTTCTAGTCCTCAGGGAGAGCATCTACGCTTATCGTCGCGCAAGTCAAAATCCCGGATGCTGGATTCCTGACTCGATTGCATAGAGGATAGATGAGAAGGGAGCATAGTGGTGTCGCCGGCAATCCTATTGATGCTGCTTTGAATTCATAAAAGTGGCTGTATGCTGTCTCGGTGGCGAGCTTGATGGCAAGAGAGACGATATTAGATATAAGGAGAAGAGAAACGACAACAAACCAACTCACCACGTTCGACCGTGTACGAAATCCCGCAGTTCAGAATACTACCCAATGACATGTTAGCTCGTGAAAACGCAGTGAATATAGGCAACGTACCTTGAACTACACCGTGATGGAAGCGTTTGGTGCATCCTGCCAAGCGAGGAATTTTCAACGCTATTCCCGTTTCATTACTCCCGACCCATAATCATCTCCTCGACCCATCCACATACGACTTGCATCCCATCTCAGTCCAATTCGAGACTCCCCGACGTGTGTCGGTCCTAGGTGGCTACGAACTCTTATTAGTTTGAGTAAGCAACGTTGAGAGTCATTTTTATTATGGCAAAGGAGGTCGTGGAGGTGTATCACATAGGCACGTCTGATGAGTTAGTCGCCGTCCGACGACTCAGGGAGAATGACTGATTGCTATAAAAAGCTGGAGATGGCTCATTAAGAGCACTGACACGTACTTAATGCTTACCAATCCCGAGGGTGAGTCTGGCGAGTGTGGGCGCTTGCGATGATCCACACTAAAAATAGCACAGTCTTCTGTGGGGAAATTTACGAGGTGGGGAGGAGTTATGCTGAGTGGACTTGGCGTCGCACTGCGAGGTCTCCATTCGAGTGATTCTCATGTTGTAAGGTTCGCCATGACTTGGTTTTTTTGGATGAAAGTAGGATGAGATGGTGGCAGGCGAACGCCATCATCAACTGATTCCACAAGTAGGTTTCCCACGAGTATTTATCCTTAGGACTCGGAACAAGCTGCACACATCATCGTCTTCTCACCGAGGGGTTGGCATTTGTGGAACCCATCATGCTATGGGACTTCCCATATACGTGTCAGCCTTGCTTTTCCCTCGTACCGTCATCTTTACCAAAGAGTTTCTGTGGTAGTTAGCACCAACAACCATGACCAACGAAAGAGGGTTAGTTTCGCTTTCACTGTTTCTTCCTTTATATCCGCGCTCATGCGACCTTGTAGTAGTCACCAGATGCTTTTGATCCATGGTTTGTGTCATGTACATTCAAATACTTGGTCTAGCATTAATATGCTGTACAGAGCTCGAAATCGTCAAGATCACGCCTACAAAAGAGTCAAGGTTTCGCTTGAAAATCACTGCTGGAGACAAGAAGAAGAAAACAGAAGTAATAAAGATCGATGGGGTCGGTGTCCTGCCGAAGTGGACCCAAAATTTGACGCTGTAAGTTATATATGCACCCATCTCATCTTGGTGGATGTCTCACAATTTCACAAGTGAGTTCGACCCTCAAGCCATGGTTTTATGGGAGCTTTACGGTCGTCTGTGGCTGAGCCCACATTTCAAGGTCCTTGGCAGCGCTGAGAAAACACTTGGAGAGTTGTTTGGAGGGACTAGTACGAGTGCGTGCTGTATTTCTTTCTTTATTCTAATAGATGCTGATTTTTTCTGTAGGTGCTTATATACACTTATCCAATGGATCTTCCGAGGTCGCAGTCCTCAAAATATCTTGCAAGTTGGGCGGTGCCAAGGGTGTCATGATCGATGTCGTCCCTAACATCGAGAAACCCTCAGAAGGCTCTAAGCTTCTGGATAGCAACGACACTCTGGACACGGTGCTCAATGCCGTGAAGCAGATGATCGATGTTCTCGCGGATGTAAGCGATACTTTGCAAGCCAATTTATATAGCTTAACAAACCTCTTCCCAAGGTGCACCCTGCGGCTACCATCGCTTGGGGATTTCTGTCTATCGGATTCAAAGTGGGTTGTCGACGGTGTTCCCAGTGCATGGATATATTCATATCATAGATACAGGTCTTAAAGAGGCAACATGACACGAATCAAGCTATATGTGATCTTTACACAGACATGATATCAGCATATGATGCATTCAGCAAGGATGATATCTTAGAGCAGCGTGTTCGATTACAGGGAATTTATAATTCCTTGTTCAAGCAGACCATCGAGTGCGCCATTTTCATTGAAGGCTATACAAAAGAGAGCGGGATAAGTATGTTTTTAAGTTACATTCATCTCACAATATCTGACGATTCTTTCAGAGCATCTCTTCGAGATGGATATATCGGGCCAAGCCGAAAAATTTCGTCAGGCTTTCGTCGACCTGAAGAGCCACTTGAGCATGGGATATGCAAAGGAGGCAGTCGTTGTCACTCTTGGTGTCCAGAAAAGTGTGGATGTTCTGGGTGCGCTGTTTTCCAGCTGCAGTGCTTCATGAGTACTGACCATTAATACTTTTAGTCATGAGAGATCAGCTACGAGATCTCCATCCGTCTCGAGAGCTAGGCCCAAAGTCGCAGTGTACACAAGGAACTCGTGTTGAGACAATTAACACGATGATGTCGTGGATTGTCCAGTGTGACGGCAAAATGATGTGGTGCAAAGGATTGGCAGGGACGGGGAAGAGCTCTTTGATGGGAACCCTCCACGACTTGCTCACTGCGGACATTGGAGGACGCAGTCGGCTTGCGGCCTTCATTCGATACGACCGTATTGAGTATTCAGATGCCAGCAAGTTAATCAGCAGCATCGCATATGCCTTGGGAATGTTCGATGACCGCATCGGGACCGCAATCTCCAAAGTTATCCAGACATCGCGGTCAGTGGCAACCATGTCAGACCCGTCTGCTCAGTTTCGGCTTCTACTTCGTGATCCGCTTGAATCCCTCCCCAGTCTTGTCGATGAGGGTCCCCTGGTAGTCATCATCGATGGATTGGATGAGTGCGATGTATCTAATGAAATGTTAGCTGTACTCGCCGAGGGATTTGGTCCGAAACTTCCCTTTATGCGACTCATCGTTGCCAGCCGACCGATTCATCGCATAGCTACGGTGTTCGAGGAACGGGACTGCATATCCACACTCCATTTAGATACATCCTCGGAGGATGTAAACCGTGATATTCAATTCTACTTGGAAATCCAATTTGCAGCTATACACGAGGATGCGTTTCAGGAGAAATGTAAAGAGCTGGATGCCATCAATGGACTGACAGCACGGGCGAGCGGTTTATTCATTTGGGCAGCAACCGTTGCGAAATTTGTTCATGCATTTCCAGGGATATCAAGGCTTCAGGCTCTCCTAGCCACAGATATCCCTAATGATGCGACCGAGGCTCTAACATTCTTATATCGCACCGCTTTGAATACTCTTGTGTCTGAAATCCCGGGTAACAATGCGGACATTAAAAAGTGTGTGTGTGCTGTTCTCGGCGCTGTTCTGGTGGCCGAGACGCCTCCGGGGATGACAGAGGAAACGCTTGATGACCTTGTCCTAGACCAAGGCAGTCCTCCGTCGCATCACATCGTGTCTATGCTAGGAAGTATACTCAGTCCTGAAACTGAGGACTCACCCATCCGACTCATACACAAGTCTCTCGATGATTTCTTACAGGATCGGAGCCGATGTGGGGACGAATGGTTCGTTGATGTCACTTTGCACCGCGTGACACTAGCCAAACGGTGTCTGACTTCATTGACATCTTTCCTTCTGGAGTGGTCCAAAATCAATTCACATAGCTCGGACTTCATCGCTGTACCAGAGTATCTTTCCCGATATGCACTGTTTGGAGCATTGTGGCATATTAACGCCTTCGACAAGACTGGCTTAGAACTCTTTGCGTCCTTTTTCCGTCGCCACTTTCTTCCTTGGTTGGATGTACATCTATTTATTGGATCTGGCTCTGTCCTTCCAAACATGGCGATGTTGCTGAACTGGTCTAACGTACGTGGCGTGAAATGAGCTTTATTTCCCGAACTAAATCATCTTGGTACTAGCAATTTGATGGCACTGAGCCTCGCACTTTATTCTACCACGCTTATCTGTTTGCGTATAGAGCAATAGAGGACGGAGGGCGATCTACGTTAGGACCATCATATGTTTACACTCGCGCGATGTGTCTTTCACCGTCGAGTAATGTCATTCGCAAGACCTGGGACTTGGAGCAGTCCAATGTTTCGGGTGAACCTGTGTTCCCTGACAAAGAGCGCCTTCTCTCTTGCATGATACGTGGCCAGCATCCCTACTATTACACTCTTCCAGACTCCAACACTCTCATGACCTTAATGTTGAGATAAGCGGTAATTCTCCAGCCGCTCACCCGGATATAGCAGGGAACCCTCGCAAACAGGCGAGGGTTGTCTTCATTCGACTACCTATTTATCTACTCGCCGTGTACACTAATAGAAGCAACAGGATGTAATAAACGAGTTCTTGCCTGACTAACCCTGACAACCGATGATCCCGACGTCAACTGCGCTGTGATGCGCGATACTTGAAACTCCAACACACCCCCGCAAGTTCGCGCATCAATCCCAAGAAAAGAAAAGAAAAAACGAGAGGAGAAAACATACAATGTACACCCCCGGAAGGTGAACACCGTGGTGGGAAAAATATAGCCTAGAAAGTGGCATCGGAGTCACTCTCATAAGCCAACCCGGCGAAGTCCGCCGCCGCAGTCTTCCCCTTTCTCGACTTCCGCCACTTTGCCCTCTCCTCACAATCCACCTTCAAGTGCCCAGGCTTATCGCAAAAGAAGCAAATGGGGTCAACTCGACTGTTGCCCTTCACCTTTCCGCTACGAAAGGCGACAGCTGCAACATCACCATCCTCTTCCTTATCTACCTCGGTGCGTTCAGGAGCAAGCGACGCTTGACGCGTCTCCTCGTTGAGCAAGCGAACGATCACATTTGAGAGTGTGAGCTGGTCGGGTGGCGTCGCGTCGAAGTTGATAATGACATTTTCGTAGGAAGGGGGGAGTCCCATGGTGAGCGCGAGGATTAGATCTTGGTCGCTGACGTCGATACCGGCTAGTTCCATCGCCTTCGCCATTCGCCTGATCTTTCCAACCCAAGCCTCCATGCCCTGGCCCTCAAGCATCTTCGCCGTCAAGAACTTCCTTCGCAAAGACAAGCTCGTTGCAAAGCCCTGTGCACGATGCACAGTCTGCAAGTTCCCCCAGATCTCCCGTGGGTCCTTCGAGTCCATGTGCGCCAGCTGCCCGACATCCACCCTCAAAATCATCTCAGCCCTCGCCTCCGCCATCTTCTGCTTATCCCGCGCCTTCAACTTCGCCGTGACCTCTGCCAAGACCTCCGACTCCGACTTCCCATCCCCATCAACCTCAATCTCGACAATGTCAGTCCAGAGCTTCCGACGTGTGAGCTCGGCTTCCATCATCACTCGCCATTCCGCAAAGTTTCCGACCGATAACTTGGGAAAACGCGCACCAAACAACTCGTCCGACATTTTGCTCTATAGGCGATCTCGACGCGGCAAACAACGAATGTGGAGAGCAAAAAACGAACAACTGGACCGTCTCGTGGACCAGCAAAGCGAACGACCAGACCGTCTCGTGGTCTAGCAAGTGACAAAGGTGATCTCGACACCAGTGTCGGGGTGGCGGTGTAGCGATAGTCTCGAGAGTCAGCACAGAGAACGAGAGCGACAAGGACTGTGGGTTATGCTGCCTGTTTGTGTTGAGATAAGCGGTAATTCTCCAGCCGCTCACCCGGATATAGCAGGGAACCCTCGCAAACAGGCGAGGGTTGTCTTCATTCGAGTACCTATTTATCTACTCGCCGTGTACACTAATAGAAGCAACAGGATGTAATAAACGAGTTCTTGCCTGACTAACCCTGACAACCGATGATCCCGACGTCAACTGCGCTGTGATGCGCGATACTTGAAACTCCAACACTTAAGAACCTCATCATCATCCGTATTCATCCAGCAATGGGAGATCGACACGGGACGACAGAAATCATCGCCAGACATGCACCATATTATTCAACTTCCATTTTTCAGCAGTTACGAGTCTTATACCGTCTACACGTATGGACGGTCAGTACTCTTGTTTGAAAAAGAAACTTTGACACCTCCGCCAACATCAGAATGGATAATGCTACCCCAAATCCCCAACTATACTTCACAGGAGACCATCGGTACCGCTTCATGGCTTTGCATCGGTCTCTTTGACTCCCGAACTCAAACGTTCAAAACGTACCTGTTGTCGCTGCCTAACACCAAGGCCGTCTCAAAGGAAGTATATGACAATGGCATCGTCCTCGCACATAACGCTGGATTTTTTATGAAGATTACCATCTGTCAAGAAGACAACTTTGTATGGACATCAATTCCGGCACATCGAGAATTACAAATTAATCGAAGTGGATCAACAATTCTATTGAGGTACCACAATGACACTATACAGCTATGTGATGCACGGACGGGTGCTGCTGTCTTTGACTCCCTTCACAGTGATAAATACCTGGTTGGTGACTCTGATGATGGAACAAAAATTGCGCTTTGTGACTTGAATTCGGATGTGACGAGTGTATTCGACATGGCCTTGGGTGGTAAGGTCATTGTTGTATTAGATGGTCGAGTGGGAAGGGTCTTGCTCTTTGGAGAAAAGATTACCTATGAACTGAACAAATGCCTAATCATCCAAAGTTTGGAAACGGGTGACATCCTCTTTCGCCACGGCATTCCCGAGCATTGGGGGCCGTATCATATAGATGCTACTCCAGATGGAACGAGAGTTATCACTTATAATTCACGCACATGTATGGTATGGGACGTTGGAGACTTATAGTACAGTATCAGTACCTCAATTACCATCTATTTCTTTTGAAAATGTCTATACATTTCAACTCTCAGAAATTCTTATGCCGATGTCTGCTTTTCCTGTCCCGTATCTTCCCCTACAGCCATGCCGCTCTCGCAATGATCAGATCTCATCCCACGTATTTTTGCTGCAAGGAGGTATACAGGTAAATGAGTCATAGGTGCCACAATCTCTCGTGATTCGAAGGCTTACTCTTTCTCACTTGCCCTGGCTGCTCTCTACTCTACTCTATGTGGACGTCAAAATACGTTTTTGAAAACAGCCATCGATACGAACGATCAAAATGCAGCAACGTGGTTTCCCATGGGGGAAATGTTCGTATAAAAGGTTTGGCTTCCTTCGACAATGCTTCGAGTCCAGGTCTTCGCTAGCCCGATGATCTTGGAACAGATACGACCCGACGAATAGCTCTCGTCTCCATCACTGCAGGCCAAGTTTTCCTTCTCCGTTCCGTTTATCAAAGAAGTCAGCCAATCTCTACCAGTTCCAAAGCTGTGTCCAAGGATTAGTCGAGCTAGCCATTTGCCCGTCTACATGCGCAACCATCACTCCAAATCTCCTCACGACAAATGGCAAGGAAAAAAGACGAGGAAAGCACTCGACGAGGATGTCCAATGAGAAGAGAGAGCGCTAATTGACTGCCCATTCGGGAATTAGCATCCCGGCATCCTAGACAGTGGCGCGCGCCATTGAGGCCATCACTCCGAGGCTGTTGCATGCTTCCCAGTCGTAAAGATGAAGCCAGAGAAGCCAAAGTCGGTGGGTAAGGTCCATTCTTAACTGCTGACGTAGACTGTCTTTGAGGAGGTACATCGGTTGCAGATTCGTCCTTTGTGGCAGAGAAGGGTGGCGAGTCGAATATCGATGCTACAGATCACCTTGCACCCCTGCAGAATTTGGGTGGCGCGGGCTGTACTGTATTCAAGTCTGTGATATTGAAGGGAGATAAGGCACGGGAAAGTGCTCCCGGTTGTGGTTCTATGGTCGTGCTGTTAGACACTCGAGGGGGATCCTCGTCCAAGTCAGATTGGAGATCACTGTCTTCATCATAGGAATACTAGTAGATGCCAGGCAGAGGATCATCCTCAGCGTGAGAAACCGTCATACCTAGAAATAGAGTATATATTAGTGTTCATGAAAAAAGATAGCGCCTGGACAAAGCTTACATCTCTCCAAAAGCGCGTTGCGGCCTTTCAAAATGCTGCTGCTTGCATAAATGGGGCAGCAATTCTGGGTCTACGCGAAAAGGGCATAAATTTGACATCAACAGGAAATTCGCCGTCGAGGGTGGCTCTAATCGGCGTGGAGAAGATTTGTTCGAGGGACTTCGGAGGAAGGCTCTGAACCCGAAAGGGACAATGGTGACGACCAGATCAATGAAGAGTTCGCCCAATGGAAGGGGAATATCGCAGCGTCCTAGTGAGATTGTGCTTTGCTTTTGGGGTGCGCAGTCTTCCTCCAGCACAGAAAGGACACAGCCTTCCCTCCTGAATGGCGCATGAGTCGAATAGCTTCTGGGCGGAAAACCAGCCAGACCTGACTGAAGCAACGCGCGCACATAACCACACTGGAATCGATAACGATGGATTGCAGTCTTCCACCTCCCCGCCCTTTACTGACAGGGGTAGTTGCCAGACAAAGATCGAGCTTGAAACTCCATCCCATGCCACATGCAGGGCTACAGAGCAGCCCAAAGTCATTGTCAACCTATGATAGCGAATGCGGACTTGATCTGTAGCGGACTCATGGACGACAGCTCATGTCCCACAGAATCTGGGTTGATAATCGGACACGGTGATGATAAGGGAGGTGAATAGACCCCTGGAGAAGTAGGTGACAAGTTTGGCGTGTAACGCGTTAGCCTTCGGAGTGCTTGGCGTCGACTGGTATATATCCTCCGGCTCCGTTGAATGGGAGAAGGTGGAAAATCTACAACATAGTCAAAAGGAAAATGGTATGAAGTTGGCGGCCTGAAGGCTGCAAATCAGCCATGATGGATGAGATCTTGAGGTCCGGAGGTTTGGACTTGCTTTGAATATGTGTCTGCATAGTAGAGACACCAAGAATAAGCGTATCTATGGTTGAACACAGTAAGTATCTTTGTACGTGACTATGGGTAATAAATTTACTTCGTAATAAGCTGGACAAGGATGATGTTCCCACCCAAATTACTCTCCCAAGTTCATGCAGGATGGCCCGGTTACGGCGAATGACGATCGTCGATGAAAGAGTTGTCCCGTCGAATCTTGAAGCTTCAAGCGGCATCTTTGTTCACGCGATTTTGCTCCAAGTTAATCCTCGCTATGTCAGTCAGACGAAATCCGAGTCGACTGGAGTGCATTGCTGGCAAGCACAGCAAGTACTTGGCTAGTCGGCAACCAGGCATGCTGTAATGCTGTTTTGTCGTTCGACGGATGGCGGCCTGCCGGTCCGTGCATCCTTGTTGTTTTCCCTCTTTCGCCCATATTCGCCAGTGACGACAACAACGACTGTATATATGCGAACTCAGCTCTGTGATGTCGATGAAGAACCATGACTAAGACTTACATCGATGACGACCAAGCATATATTCTCTCCAGACATCCCAACACGCCTATTGCGCCCTTCGCCTACCACCCCTAGGCCTCAACGTCAATCTTGCTACCTGCATCCGACTCCTGACTGCTATCTCCCTCCTTCCCTTTCCATATACCCACAAGGCGAACATCCAGCACATCGAGCTAGACAAAGCCTGGCGATGATCTTGACGCAGAGCACATGCTCGACACTCACCAGTCCGAGTGCTGAGGGAATGTGAGTGCCGGGAGTGCCGAGAATTCCATTGAGGCATTCTGTATTATGTTTTACATCAGTCATATGCAGAGGAATCAATAGGCTCACCTCGACAGCGATAGTTACTAGCGCACGCATCACACTCGACCCGTGCGCGGCAACCTGAACCCAGTCTTGATCCGACTCGGTGCCCTCCCAGCCTCCAAAATCCGTCCCTTCTAGTCCTCGGGGAAAGCGTCTACGTCTATCGTCGCGCAAGTCAAAATCCTGGATGCTAGATTCCTGACTCGATTGCACGGAGGATAGATGGGAAGGGAGCGTAGTGGTGTTGCCGGCAATCCTATCAATGTTGCCTTGAATTCAAGAAGTGGCCGTATGCTGTCTCAGTGGTGAACTTGAGGACAAGAGAGACGACATTAGATATAAGGAGAAGAGAAACGACAACCAAACAACTCACCGCGTCTGACCGTTTATCGATATCCACCATATTGGTGACCCTCGATGTGTGTGAAATCCCAGAGTTCGGAATACTACCCAATGACGCGTTAGCTTGTGAAAACACAGTGAACATGGGCGACGTACACTGAACTACACAAAGGGGCCGTGATGATAGCACTGAGTGCATCCTGCCAAGCGAGGAATTTTCAACACTATTCCCGTTTGATTACTCCCTCCCCATAATCACCTCCTCGACCCATCCACATACGACGACTCGCATCCCATCTCAGTCCAATTCAAGACTCCCTGACACGTGTCGGTCCTAGGTGGCGACGAACTCTCGTTGGTTTGAATAAGCGATGTTGAGAGCGATTTTTATGGAGGCAAAGGAGGTCGTGGAGATGCATCGCATAGGCACGTCTGATGAGTTGGTTGCCGTCGACACAGAATCAACGGCCGTGTCCTTGAATAGCTCTGTGCTCAGCGTGTCTGGTGTCAAAACAGGTAATTTTCGCCTCCCCTCGAAAGTACTGGTGGTATTGGTGAAGTCGGCAGCGAATCGTGGGTCAAAGGGGACATTGTCGAATCTTCCGTCCTGAGAACTGGAGATGTTAACGGACAGTTTTGCGAGCGCGTCTTTTGGACTGAAAGGCGATGGCGGCGTTGACATCCGAGTTCGGCCTTTCCTCATCTTTAGCGGCACTACCCCTCATTCGTCCTTTTCTCCACCGGTAAGATCTCCTTCGCTTCTTTTCAGCATGAACCTCAAGCGCAAATTTTCACAGCATTGATAGCGGGTACAATGCTAGGTGAGAATATAGTCATTAGTCGCACCAGTATCAAAAAAGAGACTCACCCAAAGAATCAAGTCAAAAGTGTGCTCCCTCCGCAGTTGCTCTAACAGGGCCTTGGTTACTCGATATACGGAGTAAGCTCAGCAGCGACTAGCTAGGTATAAATGAGTATTGGCATGGACCAATGAACACTACCACATACCTGGTTCGTCTTCCCTTCCATAGCGAACACCGGCCGATAACTGTTGCAGCAAATGAAAAACGAGGAGAGGAGAGTCGACGAGGTTGCCATTTGAGGTGATTCTCAAGTAAGGCTCGCCACGACCTAGTTTTCTTGGATGAAGCCGGACGAGATGGCGTGCCAGTTCAAATTGATTCCATGAATAGATGTTCCCACGGTATTTAAACTTAACCGAGAGTATTTATGAAGCTGTACGCAACATCATTTTCTCACCAAGGCGCTTGTGGATTGCATGCATTCAGATGCTGTTGGACTTCCATGCACGCTGTCAGCTTTGCCTTTCCCTTGTACCACCATCTCTGCGGTAGTTAGCACCAACAACCATGGCCAATGAAGGAGGGTTAGTTTCGCTTTCACTGTTTCTTCCTTGATTGATGTGCTCATATGTCCTCGCTGTAGTCGGATCCTTTTCATTCGTGGTTCGTGTCATAGATTTGAATACTTGGTCCAGCCTTATGTAATGTGCTATATAGAGCTTGAAATCGTCAAGGTCGCGCCTACAAAAGAGTCAAGGTTTCGCTTGAAATCACTGCTGCCAACAAGAAGCAAAAAACAGAAGTAATAAAGATTGATGGAGTCGGTGTCCTGCCGAAGTGGACCCAAAATTTGATGCTGTAGGTTATATATACACTCATCTCATCTTGGTGGATGTCTCACGATTTCACAAGTGACTTCGACCCGCAAGCCGTGGTTTTATGGGAGCTTTGCGGTCGTCGTCGGTGGTGGCTGAGCCCACATTTCAAGGTCCTTGGAAGCGTCGAGAAAAAACTGGGAGAATTGTTTGGAGGGACTAGTACGGGTGTGTGCTGTATTTCTTTCTTTATTCTAATAGATGCTGATTTTTCTGCAGGTGCTGATATACATCTATACAACGGATCTTCCGAGGTTGCAGTCCTCAAAATATCTTGCAAGTTGGACAGTGCCAAGGGTGTCATGATCGATGTCGTCCCTAACATCGAGATTCGAGAAACCCTCAGAAGGCTCCAAGCTTCTGGATAGCAATGACACTCTGGACACGGTGCTCGAGGCTGTGAAGCAGATGATCGATGTTCTCGCGAATGTAGGTGATATTTTACAAGCCAATCCATATTGCTTAACAAGCCTCTTCCCAAGGTGCACCCTGCGGCTACCAATCGCTTGGGGATTTCTCTCTATTGGATTCAAGGTGGGTTGTCGACGGTGTTCCCAGTGCATGGATATCTTCATATCATAGATGAAGGTCTTAAAGAAGCAGCACGACACGAATCAAGCTATACGTGATCTTTACACAGACATGATATCAGCATATGATGCATTCAGCAAGGATGATATCTTAGAGCAGTGTGTTCGATTACAGGGAATTTATAATTCCTTGTTCAAGCAGACCATCGAGTGCGCCATTTTCATTGAAGGCTATACAAAAGAGAGCGGGATAAGTATGTTTTTAAGTTACATTCATCTCACAATATCTGACAGTTCTTTCAGAGCATCTCTTCGAGATGGATATATCGGGCCAAGCCGAAAAATTTCGTCAGGCTTTCGTCGACCTGAAGAGCCACTTGAGCATGGGATATGCAAAGGAGGCAGTCATTGTTACTCTCGGTGTCCAGAAAAGTGTAGATGTTCTGGGTGCGCCGTTTTCCAGCTGCAGTGCTTCGTGAGTGCTCACCATTGACACCTTTAGTCATGAGAGAACGGCTACGAGATCTCCATCCGCCTCAAGAGCTAGGCCCCAAATCGTGATGTATGCAAGGAACGCGTGTGGCGACAATAAACATCATGGTGTCGTGGATTGCCCAGTGTGATGGCAGGACAATGTGGTGCAAAGGATTGGCGGGGATGGGGAAGAGTTCCCTGATGGGAACTCTCCATGAGTTACTCACAACGAATTTCGGAGGACGCAGTCGGCTTGCAGCATTCGTTCGCTACGACCGTATCGAGTATTCAAAAGCTAGCAAGTTAATCACCAGTATCGCATATGCCTTGGGAATGTTCGACGACCGTATTGGGATGGCCATCTCCCTAGTTGTCCAGACATTGCCATCGGTCGCGACCTTGCCACCGTCTGCTCAGTTTCAGCTTCTACTCCGTAATCCGCTTGAATCCGTTCCTGATCTTGGTGATGGAGGACCTCTGGTTGTCATCATTGATGGATTGGATGAGTGCGACGCATCTGATGATATGCTGGCTGTCCTTGCCGAGGGATTTGGTCCGACACTTTCGTTTATGCGCCTCATTCTTTCCAGCCGACCGCTTCATCGCATAGCTACGGCGTTCGAGGGACGAGACTGCATATCCACGCTCCATCTAGATACATCCTCGGAGGATGTCAACCATGATATCCAGTTCTATTTGGAGCGAGAGTTTGCAACCATACGCGATGATGCATTCCTGGAGAAGTGTAATGAGCTAGATGCTGTCAATAAACTGATGGCACAGGCGAGTGGTTTATTCATTTGGGCAGCGACTGTTGCAAAATTTATTCATGCATTTCCGGGAATATCAAGGTTGCAGGCTCTCCTAGACACAAAAATCCCTAGAGACGCCACCGAGGCTCTAATAACCTTATACCGCACGGCTCTGGATACTCTCGCGTCTGAAATCCTGGGTGCCAATGCGGACATTAAAAAGTGTGTGCGAAGCGTTCTAGGTGCTGTGTTGGTGACTCAGACACCTCCAGGGATGACAGAAGACATCCTTGATAACATTGTCCTACTAGGCGAAGGCAGCCCTCCTTCGCGTCACATCGTGGCTATGCTAGGAAGTGTACTTAGCCCTGAAACTGAGGACTTGCCCATCCGACTCATACACAAATCCTTCGACGATTTCTTGCAGGATCGGAGTCGATGTGGGGATGAATGGTTCATCGATGTCACTCTGCACTGCAAGGCAATAGCCGAACAGTGTCGGGTTGCATCAAAATCATTTCTGAAGACATGGTCTCCCAAAAGTGATATGGACATCGCAGCCGTACCAGCGTATATATCCAAATATGCATTGTTTGGAATGTTCTGGTATTCCGCTTTTGACAAGAGTGACATAGAACTATTCACTTCCTTTTTCCGCCACTACTTTCTTCCATGGTTGGAGGTTGTTGTCACGGATGGCGGCGTTCTCCATTTTGAAATTATGGACACGATCTGTCGACAATATGGACAAACACGCATACCATTCGAAGTCGATATCCGTGATTCGGACACTATCCACTGTGTTCTTCGAAGTTCCGCTGAGTTTTACTGTCACCTTCACCATTCTAGCAAAAGGAGCCTCCTCGCCGGAAAGGTCACACTTGAGTGTATGAAACTCAAAATGACATGGCCCCCCGAGCCCCACGTCAGGCACTCGGGGATTGAGAAGTTTGGCTGCGATGAAATGACAACTTCCCGTCACTTCCTCTCCACTCCGAGTCCCTTCTGCTCCTTGTCGCCTCCGCCTCCGGGCTTCAAGCCACCTCCCAGCTACTGGTTGCCTACCGGCGATAACCTGAACATCGAAGGTGTGATTTTTGTTGACGCTGATGGGACAAGTTATGGATTCAAGATTGACAATACCACATCGGTGCCTCTTTATGTTTCGATGTTCTATTTTAATGTCAGTTCTTTGAGCATTTGTACGTAGTCCTGTTGGTCTTCACTCCTTGCTTTACTGACCAGATCCTGCCTTTTTTAGATCCATTCTATCAACCGGGAAGTGCAAAAAATGGTATGGAAAATACCGTTGATGCCTATTACGATTTCATGCTTTATCTTATCTTATCAACGTCATCGTAATCCTGCTATGCTAACTTTCTGTTCTTGATCGCATTCTACCATGCTGGTATCGTGTGTTTCCCGCACCGTTACAGACTCTTGTAGTATATTTAGAACGACTCAAACTGTATTTAAGTAGCTCGACTGCAGGTCTTAAACCTCAGTCTCGAACTAAAGTTTATTCACCCGATAACTTAGTCTGAACTCACTCTCGCTAAACTAAGCGGAAGCTCCCTGCATGCAAACCTGCGAGCAACATAAAGCGCCTGACCGAAGTGCGAGTCACGCTTAGTTGTTTGATCTTGTTTGTGTAATCGGTCGCTAACAATTAGTTCGAGACTTTCTTACTCCTCATCAATAACCACGTTGACGAGCAGTAACGAATGAACCCTATTGAACAATACCTCACCGACCTCTTTGGACTACAAGGCTTTATTGCCATAGCCTATCTCGCATTCCTATATGGATACGAATACCGACGAAACCAGGAGCCAGTCTCCGAAGAAACTATCCCCGTCGAAACCCCCAACCCGGAGGCTAGATGACCGGACACACCCCCTCCCGACTACGTCGACGACCAACCAGAACCAACCATCCACTTCATCTTCATCACTGACGACGAGTGGATCACAGAGGACTCCGACACAAGCGAGTCCAGTGAGTCCGACTCCGAGATGGAAGGATGGCCCGCACAAAGAGGCCCAGTCATTGAAGAAGAAGAAGAGCGGGGAATCTACGAACAAGGGATGGACCAGCGTGTTCTCTCTACCATTACCGAAGAGGAAAGCGAAGGGGAAAGCGAAGGAAGCGACCCCTGGAATGCACCATCCCCCACCTCCACCGAAAACTCAGCTGCCAACCCTGGATATGATTCAGACGGACAGCGCCTCTATCAGAGAGGGCTTAGATACAATTTGGGAGAAAGAAGGGCGACTGAAAATGGAACTGGAAGCAGTTCAGCTGAGGAAAGCAGCGATAGAGAGGAGGACAGTGACAGCGACAAGCTCCCAGGGCCGCGCAACAACTGGTCCCCTCCAAGGCTGGACTCACGAGGAGAAACCTGGGGCAACTACTACGCCCGTGACGACTCTTCCGACGACGAAGGAAGTTACCTCAACTTCATCACGTGTCCGAACACCCCAGTCATCATCAACGATAGGGCCAGGGAAGCCACTACCGAGCTCGACCAGTGCGAGCCCACATACGACGCCAACACCAGCTGCGATATATGCAGACAAGTACAGGACTACGCGGATGCCTGGCTCATATACGAAGGAATCGAGCCCCCTTCCTCCGTCGTCCCCTATGCAATCTATCCGCTCGCACCAGAACACCCCCTTGCCACCCCTGTCCCATTCATTGCACCCTGGGTATGGGACTGACCCCGACGACCCGACTTCGATCAAGTCGTACTCCGGGTCAATGAGTGGGCCAGAATCATTCGGAACTGGAACCGAATCGTTACAGGAAGCACAGAGCCTTTCGAGCGAGTCCGACCCATCGGACTTTGAAGAAGGCGAAATCTACGAGAACCCTGGAACCGCGCTGCCATCGATGCGGAGCGGTTACACCGGGCGGGAGAGTATGGAGACGAAGACATCATCCCGGAGTTCATGGAAGGATCTAGCTCGGGAGCCTACTGAGGCTGAGTTAGAAAATATGACATATTTGGAAATGCTGCATTGGATCGAAAAGAAGTTACCACGAGAACTTTCATGGAATGGTTCTGATCAGGGAAGATACTTCCAACAGAACAAGGATTCGCAGGTGGGAGGACAAGTACTATATCGAGAAACGATCTTCCATACCACCCTCCTATGGAACCAAGTACACCCGGACAACTACACGGACCCCGGAGAACGATACGCGATACCAACCGTGTCAGAAGCATCAAGCGGAGAAACGGTGGACTTAAGCCACCTATCCATTCTCAAGAGAACCGGGTACGTCGACCCTAGTAGGTTATTCGCAGCGGCAGGAACACCGGGAAGCGCAGGCACAGCCGCACCAATTCCCGTGGTCCCAGCTCCTGTGCCGCAAGGACCTGTATCCCCTCATCATAACCCTGCACTACGATCGTTACCACGTCCCGCAGCCATTCCAATCCCCGCAGACCCTGTACAACCACCAAACACGCCACCACCGTTCATAGTCGGAGTGGCCAACATGAACCCATGGGGACAGGTGAAGCCACAGTTGGTGGAACCACCCGAGAAGTTCAAGGGAGAATCAAGCGACGTAGACAGGTTCCTGAACCAATGCGAGGACTACTTCCACGTATTCCCGCAGCAATTTACTATGAACGCGCATGGACAAAGCCCGAATCGGGTAGTGTTCTGCATGTTCCGACTCGCGGACAAAGCATTACATTGGTGGAATCATGCAAGGGACGAGTATTACGACGAAACTTGCGAATATCTGCGATACCCCACATGGCAAACCTTCCGACAAATAATCGAAGACCAATTCTGAACCGACGCAGAGGTAGAGCTCAAGCTACAGGAGTTCAAGCGTATCCGACAAAACACCTATAAGTCGGCAAAGGAGTTCTTCCGGGACTTCGAACGTTTAGCCAAGGAATCCGGAAAACGGCACAACGAGGAATACATGATCGAAATCCTCAAACCAGCCATCCGGAAAAACGTGAAAACTGCCATACACGCTACAGGAACCGCACTCCCATGTACGTACGCGGAATGGAAGTTCCGAGTCGAACAAATGGACTACAACTACCGAGTGGGACTAGCTGAAGACATAGGCAGAAATCAAGGCATGCAGGGCCAGCAGAACAAGGGAACGGGAAAAGCTGGAAGTTCCGGGAATTCCCAAGGTGATAGGAAAATGGGAACGGGCACCACGTACGGGGGCCAAGGTCAACCGATGGAGATAGACCGACTGCGGAAGGAAGGGCGATGCTTCCGCTGCGGTCACAAAGGACATCGGAAGCAGGACAACAAGTGTCCCAAGGACGAGAGCACCTGGCTCGTCAAGCACCAACCCAAATTCTCCCGAGCCCAAATTCACACAATGTATCAGCAAGTAATCAAAGAAGAAGAACAGGAAGCCTCCACGTCGAAGATTGAGGAGGTAAAAGACGAGCCGGCGGCATAAGCGACAAACGCGCATCGGCTAAGGACTTAGTTTCATTCAGTGGTGCATCACAGAAACCCGCAGGTCAGACTAATGTACCGCATGTAGTAACTCGAGGCAATGATCAATCTGTCACGCATTCACAAAATGAAATTACTCAGTCGCATAAAAGGAACGGTGTACAGGGGATTACCACCGTGCACGAAGAAGAACCCCATTCAAGATCCTTGGCCACCGGTGTGAAAGCACAAGCGGCTAACGCTGCACAAGGCGGCGGGATACTCGGGATCAACCTCACTCCGTCGGGGGCAGATGATGGCACGGGGAACAGAGGAAGAGCGGCCGAGCCCAAGGCGAGCAGTGAAGAACCCCACTCGGGGGCGGAATGTATGCGCCAGCCACGAGTGACCGACTGCCCCCATTGTGGAATGGAGCCGCAAGAGGGAACGCGAATCCCCAGCAACAAAACTGCTGCCCCGCAAAGAACAGTCCAGACGACCGGGGACCCCATCCCTTTACAGCCCTCTACAGTACGTTTACCCCCTTCATCGCTAACACATAATGGCACCGGGGGCTCGTGTTCCCCGGTGGGCGGGTCGGTGGGACCATTATGTGCTTCTCCTATTCCCAATAAAAATACCGTTTCTATCGAAGAAGTACCAGACGAGGAAGATGACTACAGTTACCAACAAAGCCTCAAGATGCGTTCCAAAGGGGAAGACCCAGTGATACACGCCGAGGAGTACCCAGAAGACTACGAGGTAACGGAGTTAGAACAAGAATACTACAACGACAAGTGGGACCGAGGGTGGCTAAAGCCACACAGCGCAGAGTGGGTAAGGAGAAAAATGAGGCAAGAAAAGACTATGGAAGGAAAACTCGCCACCCTCCGCATGTGGATACACCCTCGACGCCTAATCGAGGTAGACGAAGATCTAGTCCTAGATCTCATTGGCTCCCCTGAGGAAACGTATCGGCAACGAGAACAATGTCTACAAAACATGGAAGACCTACGAGTACCCCCACAGTACATACGAGGAGGGAAGGGGAGAAGCGTCAACGTTCGGGTTCAATTAGAAACCCTGGACACGGCCCAGACCAAAGCTGTCGATGCCTTGATCGACAGCGGGTGCACCGGGAGCTGCATAAACCGGTCGTTCATACAAGAACACCAACTAAACATGGTAAAACTGCCAAAAGCGCAGGCGGTGTATAATGCAGATGGCAGCAGAAACAAAGGAGGAGATATTACCGAAGTAGTGGAGCTCCGAATGACCATTGGGGATCATCACGAAAAAATCGACCTGGCCATCGTGGACCTGGGAAACGTACCCTTATTCCTGGGACATGACTGGCTTAAACGACACAACCCCATCATAGACTGGAAAACAGGAGCGGTAACCCTAGCCCAGTGCACATGCCGCAAAGTACCCTTTCTTCTCCCTGACGAAGACCCAGAACAACATTGGGGAAATGAAGTAGAAGAAGGGGATACCATCCTTGTCATCGACTTCAAAGAAGCCTTACACGTTCGAGCCATGGGAAGCAAGGTGAATGAGCTAGCTGCCAAAGCCAACCAAGCAAAGGAGGCAAAGACATTTGAGGAAATAGTACCGGAACCGTACCAGGAATTCCGAGACGTCTTTGCAAAAGAAAACTTTGACGAGCTACCACCGCAAAAACCATGGGACCATGCAATCGAACTAGTACCAAACGCAAATGCCAGTCTAGACTGCAAGGTCTACCCTCTTAACCCAAACAAACAGGAGGAGCTAGACAAATTTCTTGATGAAAACCTAGAGTCAGGAAGAATTCGACCTTCCAAATCCCCGATGGCATCACCATTCTTCTTTGTCAAAAAGAAGGACGGGAAGCTGAGACCCGTACAAGACTATCACAAGCTAAACGAGATGACCATCAAAAATCGCTATCCTCTCCCGCTCATCGGGGAATTGATGGATCAACTCAAAGACGCCAAGTATTTCACGAAGTTAGATGTGAGGTGGGGATATAATAATGTGCGCATCAAGGGAGGAGACAAGTGGAAAGCCGCCTTCCGGACCAATCGAGGGTTGTTCGAGCCCATGGTGATGTTCTTCGGACTCACCAACTCACCAGCCACTTTTCAATGGATGATGAACGACTTATTCAAAGAGCAGATCGCGAGGGAAGACGTCACTGTGTACCTTGACGATATCCTGATCTGCACCAAGGACGAGGACAAACATCGAGAAGTCGTAAAGGAGGTATTAGCCATTCTCCGCGCCAACAACCTCTTCCTTAAAGCCGAAAAATGCGAATTCGAGGTACTAGAAACCGAATACCTCGGAGTAATCATCAGCCAAGGATCGATCCGCATGGACCCCGTAAAAGTTAAAGGGATCACAGAATGGCCCCAACCAACGAAGAAACGAGAGCTACAATCGTTTCTGGGGTTCACCAACTTTTACCGAAGGTTCATTCAGGATTACAGCAAACATGTGCGACCTCTAACCCAACTCACTGGAAAAACCGACTGGAAATGGGGAACCGCACAGGAGAACGCATTTCAGGAGATAAAAAGGAAGCTAGCAGAGGAAGTAGTATTGGCAATACCCACACGAACGGGAAGATACCGCGTCGAAGCAGACGCCAGTGAAGGAGCCATAGGCGTGGTATTATCCCAAGAACAGGAAGGCAAATGGAGGCCCGTAGCGTTCTTGTCCAAAGCCCTAACAGTGACAGAACGAAACTACGAGATATATGATAAGGAGCTCCTCGCTATCATGCTGGCCCTAGAGGACTGGAGGCATTATCTCATGGGGGCGCAACAAGATTTCGAAATCTGGACGGATCACCAAAACCTCCAGTACTTCCAAAAACCTCAGAAGCTCAACCGTAGACAAGCACGGTGGGTAACGGAGTTGGCGGAATACCACTTCACCCTTCACCATAAGCCAGGAACCGCGAACAAGAAGGCGGACCTATTATCCCGACGAGCAGATCATGACCAGGGTGGGGAAGATAATAAAGAGGTCGTAGTGCTCAAACCCGAGATGTTCAGAGCCCTCATCATGCCAGGGGAGGAAGAAATTCACAAAAGGATCAGATCGGCACTGAGGGATATCACCAAGTGGGACCAGGGGATAGAAGCATCTATTCACCACCCCCACGGTATCACCCAAAAGGAAGGACTAATGTATTACGATGGACGACTCTACATCCCTCGGGACGCCAAATTACGAGGAGAACTGATTGCCATACATCATGATCATATCACCGCCGGACATCCCGGAATCGAGAAGACCAAGGAGCTCGTACAACGGGAGTATTGGTGGCCAAAACTCAAAAACGATGTAGAACGATACGTAAAAGGCTGTGAAGCCTGCCAACGCACCAAGACAAGCATGCAACGGAAGAGAGCACCATTACATCCCCATGCAGTACCCTCTCGACCATGGGAGCACATCACAGTTGACATGATAGGAGAATTACCAGACTCCAATGGGTACAACGCCATCCTAATGATCGTAGACCAATTCTCCAAGGAAGTCATTCCCGTACCATGTTCCACAGAGCTGTCCTCAGTGGGATGGGCCAAGATCCTCAGAGATCACGTATGGGCCAAACACGGAATGCCTCAAAAGGTGATCTCGGACCGAGGACCCCAGTTCGTATCCAAATTCATGAAGGAGTTGTATGAGATGCTACACATCCAGGGAAACCCATCCACAGCCTATCACCCGCAAACGGATGGACAAACCGAAAGGGCGAACCAAGAAATCGAAAAATATCTCAGAATCTTCATAAACCATCGGCAGAACGACTGGAGCGATTGGTTACCGCTCGCCGCATTCCAACACAATAACCGAAAGCATTCTGCCACTGGATACTCCCCTTTCGAAATCAATCATGGGCAAAAGCCTCATCTCGCACTGCTCACGATTAAAGAAGGCACAAACCCGGCAGCAAGGGACTTTGTTGCAGATATCCAAAAAATCCACGAGCAAACAGCGAAGGCCTTAGAAAAGGCAGCCGAAACCATGAAACGACAATATGATAAGCATCAGCAGACCGCAATAGAGTACCAACCAGGAGACAAAGTCTGGTTGGACTCTACCAACCTACATCTTCCCCGACCAATGAAAAAGCTCGGAGACAAATGCGTCGGACCCTTCAAAGTATTATCAAAGAAGGGTGCCTCCGCCTATGAACTCAAACTACCGCCGGGCTGGAAGATTCATAATCGGTTCAACGAAGGCTTGCTAACTCCTTATCACCCGCCGGAGTTCCCAATCCAGATACAGCCTATGGCACCACCACCAGACCTCGTGGATGGACAAGAACAATATGAGGTAGAAGAGATCATCGATCGACAAGAGCAAACGATGGGAAGAGGAAGGAAACGCCGCACCAAAATCGAATATCTCATAAAGTGGAAAGGCTATCCGCGAGAGGAAAACTCCTGGGTAGATGAGCAAGAACTTGACAACGCCAGGGAGGCGATTGAGGACTACGAACAAGTGTCCTTCATTACTCGCCCTCCTCAAAATTGGTGGGAAAACGGAGACGAATCTGACTCTTGGTCCGAAACAGAGTCAGTAACGGAATCTGAGGTCGATCACCCACTGGTTCAAGCAATTAAGGAGTATCTAGTTAAACCGAACCCGAACTCCTTAGTCGGCGCACACCTACCGAAGCCAGACGACACCGCAGCCGGGACGACTGCCTTAACAGGGGGGTAATATTACGATTTCATGCTTTATCTTATCTTATCAATGTCATCGTAATCCTGCTATGCTAACTTTCTGTTCTTGATCGCATTCTACCATGCTGGTATCGTGTGTTTCCTGCACCGTTACAGACTCTTGTAGTATATTTAGAACGACTCAAACTGTATTTAAGTAGCTCGACTGCAGGTCTTAAACCTCAGTCTCGAACTAAAGTTTATTCACCCGATAACTTAGTCTGAACTCACTCTCGCTAAACTAAGCGGAAGCTCCCTGCACGCAAACCTGCGAGCAACATAAAGCGCCTGACCGAAGTGCGAGTCACGCTTAGTTGTTTGATCTTGTTTGTGTAATCGGTCGCTAACAATGCCCCCCTCCGCCCTGGAGGATCACAGACCATCGGATACAACGCCTTCATCAGCTGGCGGAGCCTGAGGACTGGTAATGGTCCACAGATGTTCAGCATAAGAAAGGGACAAAATGTTGAGGTTGGCTTCTTGAAGCTTTTCTTCTCGACAGAGTATCTAGACTTGTCAGCCATCATCCAATAGTCACCTTTTGAAGGCCATCACCAGACTGTTCCACCTCCAGTGAGGAAGATATCTTCCCTATGTCATACAATGTGTATTCCAGTGGTTCAGAAAAAGAGAGGTGAAGCTGAGACTGATGATGAGGACTCGGAGGAAGGTGATATTGTGAAGAGTGATGATGAGGACTCGGAGGAAGGTGGTATTGTAGAGAGTGAGGAAGGTGGTATTGTGGAGAGTGAGGAAGGTGGTATTGTGGAGTGATGATGAGGACTCGGAGGAAGGTGGTATTGTAGAGAGTGATGATGAGGACTCAGAGGAAAGTGATATTGTGGAGAGTGAAGAGTCAGATTTATTTTAATTCTATGGCTGTTCTATTTAATATACAGACATTTTACTGCATTTTGGCACTGTGTATTTGAATCATAAGTACTAGTACTTTTGTGTAGGGCCTGGTTACAGCAAAGGAATGAAGAGTTGTTTGGTACCGGGCTCTTCAAGCTTGACAGTACTTCAAGTAACCGTAGAAAGAAATAAGTAGTAGTAGAGCTGCATTCTTATTCGCCGCGGCACGATATTGAAGAACCAGATTAGCAACCTAACCTCAGATTACAGACGACTCGGCCGATACAGAGTTCGCAGAGTTCGGCAAATGCCAACATTCGGCCGGCGGTACTCTCGGCAAGTAGCGGCATGACGTAACGGTGCTTTGTCATTCGATGGATAGCGGCTCGCTGGTCCGTGCGTCCTTGTTGTTTTCCCTCTTTCACCCATATTTGCCGATATCGACAACGACGACTGTATATATGCGAACTCAGCCCCGTGATGAACGACCATGACTACTCGAGGAGCTCGTCGAGCTCGAGCAGCAGCAGGAACGGTAACGGCGCCACAATTACATCCCATTACACTTCACCCCGTGCTTCCTCTTCTTCACCCCGTGCTTCTACCTCAACGACGACCAAGCAAATATTCTCTCCTGACGATCCTACACTCCGGTGCATATGTGAGCTGCCGCATGATGATGGGTTCGGGTTTAGCATTGGCTGTGAGGACTGCTTGAGGTAGGCAGCACCCTCATTCTTCTCCCAGCTTGCGCTCACAAGCCATTTATTTTACCTCTCTTCTGCAAACTCTATTCCGAAATTGGTTTACGAATACATTTACCTTACTTAGATGGTGCCATGCCGCATGCTTTGGGATTTACGCCGGAGTCAACGAGCCCGACGAGTGGCGCTGCTGGGTGTGCAAGGGTGAAGGCGGGAGCAGGCGACGAGGGGACGAAGTCGACGAAGAGGAAGAACGTCAGACATACGTTCGTATCGAGCAGGATATCCTCCGACTGCATTCCCCCAACCATTCGCCTACGCCACATTCCAGTCCCCCAGCGGCGTCGGACCCCCACCTTACATACCTCTTGCATTTACCTTCCCCGCCTGATTCCGTCCTTCCGCCGACATATACATTGCATACCGCCCAGCGCGTCGGTCCAGGGACGTTTCTTATTCCTTATCTCTCAGTAGTCACAAGTGCGCGGTCGTACGTCGAGGATCCGCTCAACGGGTATGCATATGCACGAGTCCCGAGAGTATTCGTCCATCTCATTCCTTCGCATGACGACTCCGATGATTGTGGTGTGGCTCTCGATGCGAGACTTGCGGGTAATGCCGCCCGCTGGATCCGCTCGGGCTGTTATCCCAATGCCGAAATACATGCAAACGAAGACGGCGGATGGGGCGTGTATGCTATACAAGAGCTAAGCGCCGGAGATGAGATAGTCCTGGGATGGGAATGGGACGATGCCCACCCCATACATGGCGGCGAGGAAGGGAAGGTCGAAGCTGTTGACGCCTTGGAAGGAGCCTTCATGACTTGCGCATGCGACGGCAGGATGGGTTGTGCACTCGAAGCGATGCGCAGAGGGGATTGGAAGGCTGACAACCTGGGTCCGCTGGTCGGGAAACAGAGAGGATTCAAGACCAGGGCAAGGGAACGAGGTGGCGTCGAGATTGTAGCAGGAAAAGGAAAGCAGAAGCGAAAGGAAGTGAAGGGAGCGGTCTTGCCGGTGGAAAAAGTGACGGAGCAAGGAGGGGTAGTGCCGCCCAAAATGAGGAAGGGTCAAGCACGAATGCCAACGTCGCCGTCGCTGTTGAGCCCAACAGACGAATTTGCAAAACTGTCGTTAATGTCACCGATTCTCAAGACGGAGGACTCGACGATGCCACTTTTGACCCACGATTCACTATTGACTTCGCCTGTACCGCCAGCGCTGTCGAGAAGGAGAAGAACGTCACCTGGTTCGACGCCGGACGCACTGAGTGCAGATACATTGGAAGGCATGGTTGTTGATTCGAGGGCGACCAGCTCATCAGATGTGTCCATGTCTGAACCACCTCCGCGACCTCCTTTGCCCAAGCGAAAACCTTCAAAAAAATTACCATCGACGCCACCTATCCAAACTCATGGGAGTCCACCGCCGCCAAGGGTCGATAAAGACCACTTTACGCTTGCAGAAGCACCTCGACGACCTTCACTACCTAAACGAAGACCGCGAGCGAAAGAATCTCCGGACTCCACGCCGGACACTCCGCCTTTAGAAACCCCTGATGGTATGATAGTCGACCTACCACTGCCAACGCCTAACGCCCCGGCAGCGGAACCAGCTATCATGAGTCCAGGAAAGAAGAGGAAAGAACCAGATACAGAACCACCGACGTGTCTTAAATCGCCGTCGCCCGTGATGAGGACCCCTTCACCTGATATTCCCGGCCTGTTCCTTGTATCACCGAAGACGCCGCCATCGCACAATCCCTCATCTTCATTCCCATCATCCGCTTCTCCCACAATCCGGTCTCAACTATTCTCCTCACATTCTCCTCCATCACCACCCTCGCCGCCTTCACCAAACGTATCAAAATCACTCCCCGAGATGAAATCCCAGTCAAACCCCAACTCGCCCCAAAAGCGCCGTAAGATGACGCTGGATGATTGGAAGAAGGAGCGGGAGAAGAAGAAAGTAGGGAAGGGGGAGAGGGATGGGCCGGTGCCTGTTGTGGTTAAGCGGGAGGAGGAGGAGCCGTCATTGAGGATGACGTCTATACCGATACCGATACCAGTTCCGAGGGCACCGCGTGCGATGACCATCCCAGGCGCGCCGCGGGCCCCAAGAGCGATGATGGGCGGTGGGTGGGGGTGCTAGGATTTCGTTATTTGCTCTCTGAACAGCTTTTGTATTTGGATAATTTATGTGTTATTTCTTTGTTGTACCGGTATGTACCTTGGCATGTAGAAATTTGATTCGCTTCCAACAGCTGGGATAATTGTGAGACTGCCGAGTGTCCTAGTCTGACACAGCTGTCTTACAAGTTACAGTCCACAAATGATGGAAGTACAATGCTCGGGTTCAGATAGCAAATAGCATGATACCTCAAAGTTGGGATTGGAGCAAGACCAGAGTATCCACTTATAATATATAGAATCCGTTGGAATTGTATAGGAATCCGAAAGCAATCTTATCCAGTTATACGGTGTCACTCGATTCTCAAAGGACTAACAAGTATGGTTAATTCGAATACCTTTAGTCCTGATACCAGACTCGCATGTCCCTACGGGAACTCCCCATGATCCCCGGTGTTTGGTAAGAAAACACCGGCATCGTCAATAGGACGTCAATGTACGTCGGTCATTCCGGCAGGTCTTCGGATCTCAGCGCGCGGAGAAGGGAATACGTGAAAATGCCATGAAAGCCGTCCTGCCCTTTAAATTGTACCTCTTTCGCATACCCATACTCCTGAGACGCTACCACCATTATGAAACAATCCTCATCCGGACTCCAATCTGGGTCCAACACCGACTGATAGCCAGGGAAGTGGGCCAGGTCCTTGTCTGAAGCACGAAGCATATCGAGTGGGGAAGCACGGTTCATTAGTGAACGGATGCTTCGAGCGCCCGGCGGTGGGAAGCCCCTAAAATGAGTTCCGACAAAGCCACAGTCGAGGAAAACTGTGATTCGGTGTCCTTTGGCGGAAGAGATCACGGAGAGGATAGCGTTGAGCTCTCGGTCGCTGATGTCAGGGATCAGAGTTCCGTCGGTGAGTTCGGTGCCACGATCGATGGGACAGATTGCCTCTATAGCGTTATCAGGTCCGTCTTCCCGGTGTCCAGGTTCAGGATAGCCGGAGCCGTGTCCGGCGAAGTAGATGAGGATGATGTCGCCGTGGAGGATGCGGCTGTCACTGGATAGGCCGCGTTGATGATGTCAGCACGGGTGGCGAATTCGTCGAGGAGAAGGTGGATGTGGTCTTGAGGAACGCCGAGGTCTTTGGTGACGTAGTCCTGGATTGAGAGCGCGTCTGAGACGCAGCCTTTCAAGCGACCATTACTGTACGCGTTGATACCGATGATGACGCCCAAAATTGCACGCCGTCGATCTGTGTACTCGACTCAAGTATCGCTGATCGATGGATAGAATGGTCTCATACCTTTCTGCTTACATTCGACACCCCGCCGTGGTCCTAGCCATACGACGACGAAGGTAGTTGAGTTCATAAAGCTGCATGTATTCGTGGTAACGGGGATCGCCTACGGACGTAGATCTGGCTTTGGTCTCTTGGCGAATTGCGTCGGCGTCTGCCACGCCGTACTCTTGCGCTAACCTCGCTTCCAGCCCCCCTAGCTTCTGTATCTTTCCTTCCTAGCGCACAATTAGCAAGACGAGTTCAATTTACACATAGGGATAGCATACCATGGAATAGGAGCTGCGTGGAGAGGCTGAGACGTTTAAATCCTAGTAGAAAGGGCGCTCGTTGACAGTGATGTATGAGAGATCAATGGGGCACCTACAGAAGGGCTATTGGGTTCCTGAGGCATTGTCGAGGACACCTGTAGCACAGAATCAATATCGAATGTTCTACTGGACGAATACTTCAAGCACACCTGCTCTGCTTGGTCATCGGCAGTCTTGCAATGGCTCAGCTGTTGCGAATGTTTGTCATTCATAATCGTTGAAGACATAGTGCTGATGGAGGATCAGAAGAGCTGCGTTGGTAGGAGGTATGCAACGCACCTGGATCAGTTTCGGAAACCAAGTCAAAGTCTTCAACATACACGTAGGAATGTCATTGGTCAGGAGAACTATTGCCCCATCTGGTCCCATAGCCATTCTGAATGGTCCTTGGCGATATGATTATGTTGCGTACTACATCTGTTCGCAATCCTATGAATACTCGGTTTTTGCAGTTGAGAGTACCGTGGGAAAATGTCACTCGTCAGCCACCGGCCGTTCCTTATTGGGACATCGCGCCGGGGCCCGGTAATACCACCACCATGCTATTCCGTTCGAAAACCAACTTGTCACGGTGAGCCTTGAGAATTACCTCGAATGACAACTTCGCAGTGTGAGGCCGAGTACAACTCCTCTTCTCGTTCCACTACAAAAGTCATAAGCCAGTGATCGGTTATGCAGGAGGGTCGTATGAAGCATCTGGTGTTCAGTCTTCAAATGGCTTTCGTTTGATAGGTATGTGGGTCAGAATGGAAGAAGCGAAAGGTGACGCGTGATGGTCCGATGGATTTGAGTAATTCGAGTAGCTATACACATGACTAATCTGAAGAAGAACGAGCCCTAAAAATCGCTGGACGGAGTTTGGTAATTATTAATCAAGTGCGCAAGACACGATTTACTTTCTTCAAAATGTTTGCGCCGTGTGGAAGTTGACCGGTCGCCACCATGTCTATCATTCTTTCCCACTCGACCCTTACCGTAGGATTGGTAAAGTGATCCAACAAGACCTTTAATTCCATTTCGAATATCTCAGAGTAACTAGAACGACGAGTGCATCAGCGATCCGGTGTTAACTTCAAAGACCAACGGCGTACTCTGTAGTGAACTTCGAGAAGATCTCCGTAACAATGTTTTCAGGCCTGAGCTGAGAACGTAGATCGTCGAATGCGTGTTTCTTTAGGCCCTCATGGCTGGCCTAGAGCGTATGGGATCAGATACTTCGATACAAGAAACGAGTAACAACACCATACTTTGACTGCAAGGCGATACATTGATTTCGGAGAACATGCATCACCGGCGTTGTACGAGCGCCCACCGCTGGATTTGAGAGGGATGAAAGCGACCTCCTTGGTATACATGTATACTATCAAGGCTCGGAAACTAAACGGGCGTCGGAGCCATGTGGGTTAATTATTGGGTAGGCAGAGATGCAGGGTTACGTACGTCCTGAAAGCCACGTCGTTAACCAACACTGGATGTGGAACCGTCGTTGGGGCTTTCTGTTGAGGCTCTACTCTATACTCTTCTGTACCATGATTCGTAACCTCCGCATACCGATCCATAGATTCATCGCAGATGGGAGGCTCTGCCTTCTCATACTCAGAAACGCAGATACTATTAGATTTTCCATAGGATAGAGAGTCGGTTGAAGCAAGAGAACGAAGGCTCTTGGTCGACGACTTTTTGCGAGGCGTGACAGAGAAGGGTGGCAAATCAGCGTCTGCCTCTAATATCGATGCTGCAGACGACTTTTCACCGCTAGAAAATTCGGGTGGCGCGGACTGGACTGTATCGAGGTCTGTGATATTGATAGGAGCTAAGGCAGGGGAACGTGATTCCGGTCGCGGTTCTCTGGTAATGCTGTCAGACATTCCAGGGACGTGGCAGGGTGGATCCTCATCCAAGTCAGATTCGAGATCACTGTCTCCATCATAGGGATACTGGTAAATGCCGGGCGGAGAATCATCTCCAAGGTGAGAATTGTTGATATCTAGAAAGAGATGTATATTAACATTTATAAAAGAAAGTAGCATCTAGACGAAACTTACAGCTCTCAAAGAACGCTCTGCGGCCCCTCAAAATACTGGTGCTTGCATAAACGGGACGACGGTTACATACTGACGTCTTCCCATATTTATGCGTAAAAAGCATAAATTTGACGTCAATAGGAAAGTTGCCGTCGAGCGTGGCTCTGATGGCTTTCGACATCGGCAGAGAGAATTTTCGAGGGTCTGCCTCTGAGTCTGATTGAAGGAGTACGGTGATGACCAGATCAATGAAGAGCTCGCCCAATGGAAGAGAGATATCACAGCTCCCGAGCGAGATGGTGTTTTGTCCTTGAGCTTGCAGCCAGAAATCAAACCACTGATCATTCTCCAGTACTGCAAGGACACGATCCCCCCTCCTAAAGGACGCACGACTCGATAAGGTCCCAGGCTGAAAGCCCACAGGGCTTGACTGAAGCGAGGCATGCACCTGAACGACATCGGCACCATCTTTCAGGTAAGAAGGCGACAGATCAAGATTGAAACTCCACCCCATGCCGCACGCAGGGCTGGAGAGTGATTGAATGCCGGTTCCCACTGTAGAAAAGGTTGACTTGATTTGTAGCGGATTCATAGACCACTGCTCTTCCATCAAATCTAGTCTGAGAGTCGGAGGTGAAAAAGAAGGTTGGGGAGGGGGATGCATCCCTGGAGGCAGTGGAGAGCTTGGCTTCGAGTAGTATGCATGATTCTCCAGCTCCGACGAGTTAACAGGAGGGGGAGACGGTGGATCTCGTATAATCCACGACATAGTGGACGCGGGAAGAAGTTAGCGGTCGTGAGTGGCCTGAAGTAAGGCTGCAAGTCAGCCATGAGGCCTGTAAATTTGGGGTTGCTTCGAATAAGCGCTTACATAGTACAGACAACGACTCGGAATCGACTCAGCATCATCGGCCGGCGGTAGTTAACCTCGGCAACTATAGAGTCACTATGATGTAACGCTGCTTGGTCATTTGATGGAGAGCGGCTTACTGGTCCGTGCGTACTTGTTTTCCCTCTATTCGCCGATAACGAGAACAACGTCATGACCTTACTGTATGGGCCCTTGCCCTCCCATCTCTTGACCTTGCTACCCGCATCCGACTCTCGACTGTTGCTTCCAGGAATCTGCTCACCTCTCTAAAATCCCTCCGTCTCTCCCCTCCTTTCCGTACACCCACGACTGTTCCCTCGTACACCCACAGAGTACCTTCGTCTTCGTCCCTTTGCGTGCCACCTCCCTCCCGCGCACATCCGTCCACCCTTTACTTTCCACCACCATGCTATTCCGTTCGACTTCATCCAGGAAAACCAAGTCATGGCGAGCCTTACTTGAGAATCGCCTCGAACGGCAACTTCGCAGTGCGACGCCAGGCCAACACCTCTTCCCGTTCTACATTTGCTACAAAAGTCACCAGCCAGTGTTCGGTTATGCAGTCGGAGGGAAGATGAACCAGGTACGTAGCGGTTTTCATTGGTCCTGCCGGCACTCATTTATATCTAGCTTTCTATGGGCATACATCGCTGCTGGGCTCACTCTGTATATAACCGAAAGCTATGTCGGAGCAATCGTTGAGGGAGCATGTTCGACCGTGATTCTTCGGGTGAGTATCTTTGTTTGGCGTTTGTGCGACTATAGTCTATATCTTCACGTAGTATCGTACCCATTCTTAATGCTACGAAACTCGAAACTGTCGACGCCTTGGAAGGACCGCTCTGAATTGTACATGCAACCTTAGTCCGCTCGAGGGTTATGCTGAAGGGGAAGCTTTTACTTTTTCCGGTGGAGAAAAGGACGGAACGAGGAGGGCGAGGAGGGGTAGTGCCGCAAAGATGAGGAAAGGCAAAGCTCGGATGCCAAAGCCGCCGTCGCCCTTGAGCATTCGCAAATTACCGTCAACCTCTCTGATTCTCAGGACGGATTCGACCATATCCCCTTTGACCCACGGTTTGCTGCCAACTTCGCCGGTGCTCTCGAGAGGAGACGAAAACCACCGAATTTGAAGCCGGACGCACCGAGTGCAGAGCCATTCGAGGGCACATCCTTTGATTCTCCGTCACAGCAACCAGCTCATCAGACGTGTCGCGTCCTCGACACCACCCACTCAAACCGACACGCGTCGAGGAGTCACTTGGATGGGATGCGAGTCGTCGTCTGTGGACAGGATGAGGAGGTAGTAATCAAGTGGGAATAGCGCTAAAAACTCCTCGTTTGGCAGGATGAGTCTCCTTCTCCAAGGTTCGTCGTCTATGTTCACTATTTTTTCAAGAGCTGACATGTCATTGGGCAGTATCCGCACTCTGGGATTTGACACTAGTCAAGGGTCGCTAGTAACAAGGTGGACACTGGATATCAATAAACGGTCGAACATTGTGAGTTGGTTCGTTGCTATTTCTCTGCCCCTTATATCTCACGTCGTCTCTCTTGCCCTCAAGCTCGCACCTCTATGAATTCAAAGCCGCATCAATAGTGCTGCTGGTGACACCGCTACACTCCCTTCCCATTTATCCTCCTGGCGATCGAGACCAGGAATCTAGGGATTTATACTTGCGCGACGATACGCGTAGATGCTTTCCCTGAGGATTAGAAGGGATAGATTTTGGAAGCTAGGAGGGCGTCGAATTGGATCAAGACTGGGTTAAGGTTGTCGCACACACACAGGATGAGCGTGGGGCAACTACCGCTGCCGAGGTGAGCCTGCTGATTCCTCCAGATATAATTGATCTAAAAAACATGGATATAGACCGTCCCATTGAAATACTCTGCACTACACTCCCGGGTACTCACACTCCCTCAGCCTGTGACGTACTTCGTGTCGAGATCATGAGCTCTGTCTGGCTCGATACATTTACTTGTTGATGACGACTTTAGTAGTCATCTCTTACCTCTTACCTTGAAGTCCAGGTCTATCCTCGCCGTAACCGGGCAGTACCGCATGGACTTGAGGATCATGCTACAACGTAAATTCACTGCATGTATGCGCGTGTAAAGATGCTGATTATGATTGATCATAGATACGCTTTCGGTGTCTGTACATACTGTGTCGGCGCTCATTCGAAGCGACCCCAAATCTATGGCCTCGTGGCTGACTTGCAGCGTTACTTCAGTCCGCTACGTTCTCTCCTTTTGACTATCATGATGTCCTGGAGCATTCGAGATCCACCTTCTCCTATTCACTGCTGGGGTGTGTCGGTGTTTCTGCCTCAAAGACGACAGGTAAACACCAGCATGTATTTGTGTAGATGTTTCTGCAAGTAAACACCGGATTGTAATTACATGAAGAAATACTATCAGTTTTTCCTACCATTCCTATTTCCGTATTCATGCCAGTGTTTTTGCAGTAAAATACCCAAATAAGTACACGACATCATTTGGTCCATGTTTCCTCGCCTGTGTTTTTGTGTAAATGACATTTTGTATTTCATACATGTGTTTCCGAAGTGTTCTTTGTCCCAAAAATACCCGAGCAACAACACCATGTGTTATGATTGGTGTTTCTTTGAGGTGTTTATGGTAGGAAACACCTGCAGAACAAAGGAAAGACCGGGTATTTCTCACCATAAACACCACAAGAAACACCAACCATAACACATGGTGTTGTTGCTTGAGTGTTTTTGGGACAAAGAACACTTCGGAAACACATGTATGAAATACAAAATGTCATTTACACAAAAACACAGGCGAGGAAACATGGACCAAATGATGTCGTGTACTTATTTGGGTATTTTACTGCAAAAACACTGGCATGAATACGGAAATAGGAATGGTAGGAAAAACTGATAGTATTTCTTCATGTAATTACAATCCGGTGTTTACTTGCAGAAACATCTACACAAATACATGCTGGTGTTTACCTGTCGTCTTTGAGGCAGAAACATCGACATGCCCCAGCAGTGATTTCTGCGAAGCCAAAGGACCTATGCCAGCTGAAGCCAGGGACTGCGGAGGCGAGCGCTTGCACCCCAAACTTGTCACCAACTCCACAGCGCATGTCTTGCCATGTTTCAGCTGTGGACCTGGCCGTTCCTTATTGGGACCTTGGGCCGGTACCAACACCAACATCAGCAGCGAATCCACCTCCCTCATCTTCTCCTCGTCCATCTTCAGCTCCGAACATTCGCCTAGATCTGGTGGGACGAGAGCAGTGGTCCACGAATCCGCTACAAATCAAGTCCACATTCGTCCTCATAGGTGAGAATGATTTCCGGCTTCTCTCTAGCCCTGCATGTGGCATGGGATGGAGTCTCGGTCTTAATCTTTGTCAGCCGACTTCCTTGATGAAGCAGAAGATAAAGAAGGGGAAAATGCCCAGCATTGTCGTAGTGCGCGCCTTGCTTCAATTAGGCCCGGCAGGCTTTCCACCCGGAAGCTATTCGATTCAAGCATCATTTAGGAGGGAAGGTTGCGTTCTTGCGGTGCTAGAGAATAACCGAGAGGGCTGTATGTCCCCAGATCAAAACACTATCTCGATAGGACGCTGTGATATTACTCTTCCATTGGGCGAACTCTTCATTGATCTGGTCATCACCTTGTCCCTTTCGGGCTCAGAGCCTTCCTCTGAAGTCCCCCGAACGATCTCTGAGCCTATGTCGAAGGCCATCAGAGCCACGCTCGAAGGCAACTTTCCTGTCGACGTCAAATTTATGCCTTTTACGCGTAAGTATGGGGAGACGTCCGTGTCTCACCGTCGTCCCATTTATGCAAGCAGTAGTATTTTGAAGGGCCGTAGTGCCTTCTTGGAAAGCTGTAAGTTTCGTCTGGGTTGCTTTCTATTACGAATGTTAATATCACATTCTCTTTCAGATATCAACGATTCTTACGCTGAGGATGAATCACCGCCTGTCACCTGCCAGTATCCATATGATGAAGACAGTGATTTCGAATCTGACTTGGAGGACGAGGATCCCCCTTGCGACGTCCCTCCAATGTCTAACAGCGCGACCATAGAACCACAACCGGAAGCACTTTCCCGTGCCTTATCTCCAGTCAATATCACAGACCTAGATACAGTCCAGCCCGCGCCACGCGAATTTTGTAGCGGTGAAAAGTCATATGCAGCATCGATATTCGACTCGCCACCCTTATCTGCTACATCTTGCAAAAAATCACCGGCCAAGAGTTATCGCTCTCTTGACTCAATCGACACTCAGTCCCGAGGAAAATCTGATTGTATTAGTGTTTGTGAATCTGAAAAGGCAGAATCTCCCGTCTGCGATGAATCCATGGATCGGTTTGCTGAGGTTACGAATCATCGTGTGGAAGATTACCTAGCCGCTACAGCGGAGCCTCAAGATAAACCTACGACGTCGCTTCCACGCCTGGTATTGGTTAACGACGTGGCTTTCAGGACGTACGTAACCCTACATCTCTGCTTGCACAATAACTGACGTCAATCCACCAACCTTTTAGCTTCCGAGCCTTGATGGTATACATGTATACCAAGGAGGTCGCTTTCATCCCGCTCAAATCCAGCGGTGGTCGCTCGTACAACGTCGGTGACGCATGTTCTCCGAAATCAATGTACCGCCTTGCAGTCAAAGTACGGTGTTGCTCGTTTCTTCTACCGAAGTATCTGAACCCATATACTCAACTAGGCCAACCATGAGGGTCTGAAGGAACACGCATTCGACAATTTACGCTCTCAGCTCGGGCCAGCGAATATCATCACGGAAATCTTCTCGAAGTTCACTAAAGAGTATGTTATTGGTTTTGGAAGGTATCATTAGGTGTGCTGACGCGCCCGTCGTTCTAGTTACCCTGAGATATTTGATACGGAATTGACGGTCTTGTTGGATCACTTTACGAATTCTACGGTAAGGGACGAGTGGGAAAAGATGATAGACTTGGTGGCGAGCGGTCGGCTTCCACACGGCGCAGACATTTTGAAGAAAGTGACTCGTGTCTCGCGCACTTAACTAACAATTACCCGACTTTGCCCGGCAATCTTTTGTACTATTTCATTCATCAAACTGGTCATGTATATTGCCCGCTACTCGAATTCCATCGGACCATCAATGCATCTTGGGTCATCTTTCGCTTCTTCCATTCGCACCCACATACCGGCAGAGTCATTTCAAGACTGAACGTCAGATACCTTGCACGATTAACCTTAGCACACATCGTCAAATGCAATCCGAACATAATCTCATCTCTCCTTTTAGTCGTTCTCGGAGTCTCGGTCCAACTCTTAGGAGGAATACCTTCAGCAAGTTGAGCGTCCGTAGCAAGACTGAGGGGCTGTATCGCATCAGCGCTGAATCCAGTAACCGCCGATAACTAGTTTCTTGTCTTCTTAAAGAATCCCAATGAGAAACCGTTCGGTGAGTCTGTGACTAGGTGTAAATGCCAATACGGCCGCGGCTCACATCATCAGCGTTTTTTTTCGAGTTTTCTAGAGTAGATAACCTTTAGGCTAAAACGACGTGGCGTGAAATACTGGTTCCGTCATCAGACCAACTTTTCCGGACCGACTGATCCACTGGCATCCTCTGTTTCCCACACGCATCGCAAAGTGTCATCTTGACTTCTCACGCGATGGACCTAGCATCAACCTCTGCCTCGCAAAACGCTCCGCGAGCATATATAAATGGCTTCAATCTCTCTGTGGACTACAAGATGCCCGATCTATCTTTGGTTCGGAGCCAGGCTGCTAAAGGTGATATGCGCTATCTGATACCTCTACACGTTGTTCTGACCTGTGATAATGAGCAGTTACCGAAGTCATGGACGCTCCAATACCGCCTCGAATTGTTCTTCAAAATGCTAGAGGTGAGGCTGCTACAGGGCCCATCCCACCGGCCCTGTGGTACAACTTTAAGCTTCCTCAGCTCTTTCAGTTCAGCTTTTTCTGCTCTGTGGAGGATGGTAAGTTCTATGTCGCTTCTAGGCATATCCCTCTCTATTATAGTATACAGTTCCCGAGGATATATTACCACAATGCATTTGGTCTCTCGGATGGTCGATTCGCGCCTATCTGGAAGCTTCGGACGAGCAACTGAAGATTTTCGCTCTTCTCGCGCCGCAGGGGCAAGGTAACGGTGTAACCATTGACACAGAACGGTACATCTTGGTGAAGTGTTCCATTACAACCCAGAGATTTCTTCGTGTACTTACTGATTGCGTAGCTTGAGACCTGTCGCTCCAAGATAGCCGATCACCTTCTGTGAGTATCTATTCCGGCGTAACACCTCACCTCTGATTCCTTGACAATGAAATTGTAGTAAACCCAAAATCAACCAACCACTAGAAGCTCTCCGCTATATTCGGTGTTCCATGGAGGCGGACAAAGAACGTAGTGGACAGTCCGATATTTTCCTTATAAATCCGTGCGTACCCACAATCATAGCCGCGTCATCTCCATATGGATCGTTTCTCAAAGGGGATTATACGCTTCGTTTGCTGCATGCCTCGCACGGGCAAGAACGGACGACGTTGAAGCAAAAGCAGCGCTATCACGTGTGATGAACGACATAACGTTAGACTCGGGCTCTCTAACCACGTTTTATCGTGTCGAGGCAAAGGTGTATCTTGCCCGTGTACTTCGGAGACTTGGGGAAGACGACGAAGCGCAGAAACTGTATGTCGAACCGTCGTGACTGTCTCTACTAGTGATGTTGCCTGAGAAGGTCTTTAGGGAGATATGGCTGGTCAGATGGTTCAAGAAGCATCCGCATGAATTCAGTGATTCCGTTTTGGTACAAATGTTCACCACGGATATTGATCCAGCCGTGGATCCAATTTTCACAGGCCTTGGGGGATCAAAGTGGCTGGATCATAGGAAGGCGACGTTGAAAACACAAATTCGTGAAACTAGGAACTGCCGAAACTGCCGTGCGCGCGAACCCCAAGTGAAATTGGCGCTATGCAAGGCTTGCCAGCGTACATTTTACTGGTCAGTGATAACTCCGGTTTTCTTCTTGTGTAATTCTGAGGTCATGGCTCCAAGTTCTGCAGAGTGCCAGAAAAAGGATTGGCCCTCCCATAAGTACATTTTCCATTATATTTGCGTTATGAAAGAACTAATGACGCGCCTGAATAATTTAGGGTATACTGCAGGTGAATGTATTGGCTCGATCACGAAATATGATGTTAATGCCAATTTCAGAGAAGCTGCGGCATATTTAAAGAGAACAGCAGAGCTTGAGGGAATAAGTGCTTTCGCAGCACAACAATCCCAAGATTGGATGCATTACAGAGACAATTTTAGGCCGGAGATAGTGGAATGCTTTGTAAACGCTCTTGGACTAGTACGCGATGTATCACGAGGCCGAACACACATCGTATATCAAGAAGTCGAGTACGTCCCGTCCGTAAAGAATTGTCTCGACAAGTTCAGAACTACAGGAGCTGGAGTTTTCAAACTCGAAGATGTCTGGCAAGATATTGAATCCAGAATGGGCCTAGATCCTGGTGAGGGGAAAGTGTATATCCGCGAGATGCTGGAGGTGTTCGATCGTGAACCTGGGAATGGGCAAACCAGGGAAGCGCACATTCCCATCTTTAATTTGATGTTCTCGGCCAAAAATGATGTCCAAGTGTATCTTGGAATCAGTGCGTTGTTTCTCTTTCTTGAACAATCTTTTGTGATGTTGCTTCCCAATTTTCAATTTTAGGCGATATTTCACAAAAGAAGGTAGCATTCATGCGACCCAAGCCGGACTGGAGACGGGATCTGAATATGAGAGGTGAACCTCCTGCTCACATCAAGTTAGGCGAAGACAAAATTCGGGATGCAGAATTTATCTTTTGAAAGTGTGTGTCAAACCGTAGTTATCGACCACGCATGAGTGGCTAATGTTGATGTATTTAGGTTGCAACAGGAAACGAAGAGATAGTAACTCTGCCGACGGCATTGGTGGGTATGTATGTGCGCACAGGTGCTGATGAGTAATAATTGGCAGGGTTTGAATAAATGTAGTAATGTAGTACCATACCTTTGACTCTTCCATCGTTGTTTCAACGGCCGACTTCAACGGCAAGGGTGAAATAGACCTATTCGTAGAGGCATCGGATAAATTCAGAATGTCATCTTGGTGAAGAAACTGCAAGGAGGCTCAGATATTTGTGGAGTTGAGGTAGAATCACGGGGTGACTCGGAAGTGTAATGGGATGTAATTGTGGTGCCATTGCTTGGGCTTGACGAGCTCCCGAGCGGCTATCCGATACCTGTAGTTGCTGTCGGGCCGAGAGTACCGTCGGCCGAATGCCTGCTGTGCTTGGCATTTGCCAAATGGTTGTCTTCCGAACTTTTGCTCTCTCATTGCCAGCATCTACTAGCAACAAAATTGCAGTAAATGACAATGAGGCTCTATGCGATCTATAACTACTTGAAGTATCAGCTGGAAGACTCTTTCATTACAATATTCTTTCGCTTCTCTGCTGTTAGTAACCCGGTGAAGTAAACATCATTAAAAATTTCAAGCACAACTATCGTGGTTATAGTGTACAAAAATTATCTGCATACAGGTACTACAGGAGGTCAGCTAAAACAGGTACCTGTTTGACACACACCTAGTCTTTTCTCCATCTCCAGGTACTTTCATACATCCTTATAGGTGTACCTGCATCTACTAGTACTTGCTGCTGTACTGTAACAGGCTGTTCACAAGTACTTTTTGAGAACATCCGTGTTGGGTCCGCAAAGATCTGGGCATTGCTGAGACACCGAACCGGCCGCTGATGGCATATTCACACCAAGCCTCGAGCTTGTATGGATAATATAAGCCTATGCCAATGCAGTAAATGTTAAGATAAGCGGTAATTCTCCAGCCGCTCACCCGGATATAGCAGGGAACCCTCGCAAACAGGTGAGGGTCATCATCGTTCATCTACCTATTTATCTACATGCCATATACACTAATAGAAGCAATATGATGTAATAAGGAAAGCCGAGGAGGAGAACAGATGAACGGTGCTTCCTACTGAAGATCCCGACGTCGACTGCACCATGATGCATGACACTTGACATTCCAACACACCCCCGCAAGTTCATGCATCAATCCCAAGAAAAGAAAAGAAAAATGAGAGGAGAAAACATACAATCTACACCTCCAGAAGGTGAACACCATGGTGGGAAAGAGTAACCTAGAAAGTGACATTGGAGTCACTCTCATAAGCCAACCCGGTGAAGTCTGCTGCCACAATCTTCCCCTTTTTTGACTTCCACCACTTTGCCCTCTCCTCACAATCCACCTTCAAATGCCCAGCCTTATCGCAGAAAAAGCAAGTGAGCTCGACTTGACTGTTTCCCTTCAGGCCCCTGGATGCCTTGCCACCGCGAAAGGCCACCGCCGCAACTTCATCATCATCACCTATCCCATCCTTATCCTTCTCCGAACATTCAGGAGCAAGCGATGCTTGGCACGTTTCTTTGTTCAGCAAGCGAATAATCACGTTTGAGAGTGTGAGCTGGTTGGGAGGGGTCGCATCAAGTTGATGATGACATTTTCATAGGAAGGGGGGAGTCCCATGGTGAGCGCGAGGATTAAGTCTTGGTCGCTGACATCGATACCAGCTAGTTCCATCGCCTTCGCCATTCGCCTGATCTTCCCAACCCAAGCCTCCATGCCCTGGCCCTCAAGCATCTTCGCCGTCAAGAACTTCCTTCGCAAGGACAAGCTCATTGCAAAGCCCTGTGCACGATGCACAGTCTGCAAGTTCCCCCAGATCTCCCGTGGGTCCTTCGAGTCCATGTGCACCAGCTGCCCGACATCTACCCTCAAAATCATCTCAGCCCTTGCCTCTGCCATCTTCTGCTTATCACGCACCTTCAACTTTGCTGTGACCTCCGCCAAGATCTCCGACTCCGACTTTCCATCTTCATCAACCTCAATCTCAACAATGTCGGTCCAGAGCTTCCAACATGTGAGCTTGGCCTCCATCATCACTCGCCATTCCACAAAGTTTCCGACCGATAACTTGGGAAAACATGCACCAAACAACTCATCCGACATTTTGCTCTATAGGCGATCTCGACGTGGCAAACAACGAATGTGGAGAGCAAAAAACGAACAACTGGACCATCTCGTGGACCAGAAAAGTGAACAGCCGGACTGTCTCATGGACCAGCAAAGCAAACGACCAGACCATCTCGTGGTCTAGCAAGTGACAAAGGTGATCTCGACACCAGTGTCAGGGTGGCAGTGTAGCGATAGTCTCGAGAGTCAGCACAGAGAACGAGAGCAACAAGGACTGTGGGTTATGATGCCTGTTTGTGTTAAGATAAGCGGTAATTCTCCAGCCGCTCACCCGGATATAGCAGGGAACCCTCGCAAACAGGCGAGGGTCATCGTCATTCGTCTACCTATTTATCTACATGCCATGTACACTAATAGAAGCAATATGATGTAATAAGGAAAGCCGAGGTGTCAACAACCAACTAATATCGACTTAGATCAACTAAGGATCGCCACTCGCACTTCAGTGGACGATACTCTTAGAGGTCAAAGGAGATAAAAGAGAGTTTATTGAGGACTTAGATAGTCACGAAACAAGGAGCTTTGAGTTGGGTAGATTAAACCTTAGCCGAAGCTGGGGTTTAGACCAGCTGAGGCTCTACTTAAATACACGATGCGTAGACTAATAATAGTACTGTGAGAACAAGTCTGTTGCGATCGTACGAGAGAATCATGTAGCATAAGCAGGAAAGGTAAGCAAAAGGAAAGAAACAAAAGAGAAAAATGAATAAACCGTAACATTACCCCCCCTTTAAGACTCGTTCATCCCGAATGAGTCATCTGACTGCCACTCCTCTTCTGACGATGATTTTCTTGATTGAGAATAGAAGGAGAGTGTGTCTTCCTCCTCCATGTCTGATTCCCAATCCCAGTTTTTGTGGATTTGTTGGAGGTTTTGGAGGTTTACCTCTTCCTCTGTGTCATTTGTTTCTATAATTGATACTCCATCGGCTTCGTCCGTGGTTACGGTAGGCCACTTGTTTTGTAGGAAGTCAGGTTCGAGTTCTGGATTGAATGTGGGATGCCAGTTTTGGGCTAAGACCTCGAGAGCGGATGACGAAGGAGAAGAGGGATAAGAGTCTTGTTAGGTACTACCGTTGTACGATAGTCCATCATCGGCTCGTGTGATCTTTTCTTTTATCCGCTGGACCCTCGCCTCATACTCATTGACCAGTGTCTCCGCGTTGGCCATGTTCGATCGTTTCACCCAGGAGTTCTCCTCCGATGGGTATCCCTTCCACTTGACCAGATATTCGGTTATGGTGCGACGGGTTCGTCCTCTGCCGACAACCTTGTCTCGTTGTTCCACAATCTCCTCAATCTCATATTCTTCCTCGTCGTCGATTAACTCTGGAGGTGGTCTTTCTGGACATGGTTGATTAGGGAATTCAGGAGCGTGGTATGGTGACAGGAGGGATTCATTGAATTGGTTGTGGATCTTCCAACCTGCTGGGAGTTTAAGTTCATAGGTGGAGGTGCCCTTTTTGGCGACGATGGAGAATGGTCCCACTCGTCGATCTCTGAGTTTCCTTGTGGGACGAGGGAGGTTTAGGTTGGTAGAATCCAGCCACACCTTGTCACCAACTTGGTATTTCACAGCTTTGTCTTTATGCTTGTCATAAGACTTTTTCATGGATTCTGCCGCCTTTTCCAGAGATTCTTTTGCCTTTTCCTGCACCTCTTGTATCCCTTGAACCAACTTCATGGCAGCCGGAATGGTGTCAGGACATTGGGTGGTTTTAATGACCTGTCCGTCCCTCCCGAAGACTACTTTGTACGGGGAAAAACCTGTTGCTGAATGCTTTCAGTTGTTGTGAGTGAATGCGGCTAGTGGTAGCCATTCACTCCAGTCATCCTGTCGATAGTTTATGAACATCTTGAGGTATTTTTCTATTTCTTGATTAACCTGCTCTGTCTGTCCATCTGTTTGAGGATGGTAGGCTGTAGAAGGGTTACCTGTGACCTGAATAAGGGTGTAGAATTCCTTCATGAACTTCAACACAAAGACAGTCCCCCTATCCGAGATGACTTTCTCAGGCATTACTCCATACAGTATGTAGATGTGATCTCGTAGGATTTTGGCAAAACCGAGAGAGGTGAGTTCCTCGGTGCAGGCGATTGGAATTATGGTTTTAGAAAACCTGTCCACTATGACGAGGATAGAGTCGTACCCCCTTTGAGTTAGGGAGCTTGGTGATCATGTCGACGGAAATGTGGGTCCATGGCCTCATTGGCACTTCGTTGGGATGAAGAGGAGCTTTCTTCAGGCGACAATCTGCTTTGGTTTGTTGACAAACTTCACATCTGCCTACGTACGACTCCATCTCCCTGCGCATTCTGGGCCACCAGTAGTCTCGTAGGACAAGTTCCTTGGTCTTCTCTATACCAGGATGTCCAGCGGTTACGTGGTCATGCTGCAGCGCTATGATTTCTCCTCGTAACCTCCGATCCATTGGAACATAGATGCGTCCGTCGTACCAGAGCATTCCTTGGTCTTGGGAGATCCCCTTCTCATGGTTCAGAGAGTCGGAGATTCCTCGGTCCCACTTCCTGGGGTTGTGAGTGGCCAGCTTGATTTTCTCGTGTAGCTCCTCCTGGGTGGGCATAATCAAAGCCCGGAAATGTTTGGCCTTGAGTACAGTCATGTCCCTGTTATCCCCCTTGCCTTGGTCATGGTCCGCTCGTCTGGATAGGAGATCGGCTTTACGGTTCTGAGCCCCCAGCTTGTGATGTAGCGAGAACCAGTATTCCGCCAACTCTGTCACCCACCGCGCTTGTCGTCGGTTGAGCTTTTGGGGTTTACGGAAGTATTGGAGGTTGGAGTGGTCCGTCCAAATTTCAAAGTCTTCCCGAGCCCCCATAAGATATTGGCGCCATTCTTCTAACGCGATCATGATGGCAAGGAGCTCCTTGTCATATATTTCGTAATTGCGCTCCGTCGTCGATAAGGCCTTGGAGAGGAATGCTACTGGATGCCATTTATCGTCTTGTAGCTGGGATAGTACTGCTCCTATTGCCCCTTCACTCGAATCTGCTTCCACTCTAAACCTTCCTTCATCGAGAGGAATGGCTAGTACCACATCCTCTCGGAACAGTTCTTTAAGCTTCTCAAAAGCTCCCT